AAACCCCCTAAAACCCTTTTTTAAGTTTTTTCTTTATAATTTTATAATTTTCAGGAATTTTTTCTCTGGCTTTGGCTTATATCCCCTTCAAGCATTAGCAAGTTGTTTTATAGTCCCCTTCCACCCACCTCCCATGAAAAAAAGGATAAAACAGACAAAAGCATATTGAAGGTGCTCTAAAAAAGGTAACTATTTATATAACAATGAAAAATTTATGGGGGAACAAACTAGTGTTGATTTTAGAGGAAACAGAATACTTGCCCAAGAATTTTATACTGAGCTTTTTAAAAGCTGTCATGCTAGCAAATTTTTAAAATTTTTTTAAGAGTAAAATTAGCTGTTGAAATTTGATATATTATTGTATGACTAACCCAAATTCACAATATACGGGGTAGTGCAAGGAAATTAAAAAACATTTTGTTGAGCCATACAGATTTGGCAAAATGTAGTATATTACTATTAAAAATTTTTTAAATAGCATAGGTATTCGGGTTTTTGTATATTTTAAGGGTAAATATACTGACGTGTAAAAAAAAAAAAATTGCAGTTTATGGCATTCTATTGAAAGGCATTTCACCCACCGGGGCTTTTATTAATTCACCTGGCAATTCATGGCAAGAAATTTTTCTGTGAAATGATATAGTAAACGGCGTAACATTTTAAATATCATATTGTAATAAACCATGGCACAATGCCATAAAAAGTGTTTTTTCTTTCCCTTATGGTTATATATAGTGATAATATTCAAAAGTCTAGAAATTTGGGAAATTTTTTTTTCCCGTAAGAAACTTTTTTTCTTTTATCATTACCAACATTCCAAAATATTAAAATTAATGCAAAGAAATGCCTTTGTAACTTCAAATAGTGTAGTTTTAAAGTGCAGAAATAAAAACAATAGGATTTTTACTTTTGAGCTTAGGGGCATAAATAATTATTATATAATATAGAAAATGTAGTAAAGCTCAAACCTTAAATCTTAATATGTTAGGTGAACCCACATGCACTTGTAGAAATCTAGGGCATTAGTGGGAGTGTATATTGATCAAGCCAAACATTTTTCCCTATCAACATCCATCCAAAATAAAATTCCCATTTATGTTGTAAGAAACCTGCAGAACATGTCTTAACATGGGGGGAAAAAACTACAAGTTTACCAAAGCATTTAAAATATCAAGTTTTGGGAAGTGTTCCCATGAATAAAATTTCAGGATGTGTATATTTCGAATACTTCTATAAAATGTTACTCTAAAAAAACATGTTTCACTCTGTCCCCCTTAATAAAAAATGCATACCTGCCCATCTAAATAAAAATTAAACCTTTTACAACACAAATTTAATGTAATTAAGTTTAAAACAGGATTTAACCATATACTACATTTATTCACAGCGCTGCATGCCCCTTGGGGGATGAGCATTTAGTTATTTTTAAAATACATTATCTCAGCACTGCACCTCAACAGGGTTAAGTGCATTTTTATGAACATACCGTAAAAAATTAATAAAAATATTTAAAAAAAGTTTTAAAAATGCAGTATTAAAATGTGGGGAGAAGTTTGTGGGCATAGGAGGGTGGGGGCAGGGAAGGAAAAAGGAGTACTGGTGGGAAAGAAGAAATAAAGGGTTGATAAAAGAAAATGGTAGCTTACGAGAGGTTTTTTCGAAGTAGAATGTTATAAGAAGAGCAGAGTATTGGAGAGTAAAAGAAAGGTGAAAAGAGTGGGAGAGAGGCAAAAGGGAGCAGAGAAAGAGTGGGAGAGGCACTGTCAAGAAATTTTAATGAAAATAAAAAAAAATTTGGAGTGGGGTTAAACAAGTTAAGAAAGCCTAGGAAAAGTATGGATTTGTCAGTTTAAAAAAAGAGTAGGGGAGTTAGTAGAGGGGAGAGGGAGGTTTTAGGTAAAATGGCAAGAAAAATTTTTTAGGGGCTTTTAAATGTTTAGGAAGAAAAGGGGGCGGGAATTTTTAGCACGGCCAGGGGGGTTACCCTCTTTTAGGAGTGAAAAGAGCAGAATGTAAGTGGGGGAGGTACGTAGGGATACAAAAATGAAAGGGGGGGGAAAAAAAAAATGGGAAATGGGAAAAAGAAAGTTTAAAAACAGGGGGGATTATGTTGGAGTGGGGACTTTTGTTTAATAATGTTGAAAAAGGGGAAGGGACCCAGGGGTTTAGGCAGAGATCATGTATAGTCCCTTTATAAAAGGGAAAGGGACAAAAGAATTGTAAAAATTATAGAGGGGAAAATTTACTGATATACCAGGGAAAAATAGGTAGGGTTATAATTGAAAGAATTAAAATAAGACAGAACGTAGAATTGCGGATGAGAAGGAGGGTTTGAGTGGGGGGGGGGAAGTGACATAAGTGTTTACGAAGCATATATTGAACAGTATTTTGAAAAGGAGGGAAGTTTTTTTGCTTTTATGGATTTAGAAAAGGCAAAGAAGAGTGGATAGAGGACAATGTGGCAGATGTTGCAAGTATATGGAATAGGTGGTAAGTACTAAATGCTGTAAAGAGCTTTTATGAGGATAGTGAGGCTCATTTTAGGGTATGTAAAAGAGGGGGAGAATACTTCCGGTAAAAGTAGGTCTTAGACAGGGATGTTAATGTTACCATGGTTGTTTTAATATATTTATAAAATGGGGTTGTAAAAGAAGTAAATGCTAGGGTGTTCGGGAGAGGGGTGGATTAAATTATGGGAATCAAATTCAAAATGGGAATTGACACAGTTACTTTTTGCTGATGATACTGTGCTTATGGGAGATTCTAAAGAAAAATTGCAAAGGTTAGTGGATGAGTTTGAGAATGTGTGTAAAGGTAGAAGTTGAAAGTGAACATAGAAAAGAGTAAGGTGAGGGAGGGTATAAAATTTATTTAGATAAAGAAAAATTGGATATAAAAATTGGGGAGGAGGAGTATGGAAGAAGTGAATGTTTTCAGATACTTGGGATTTTGAAGTGTCAGCGATGGATTTATGAAGGATGAGTTAATCATAGAAATTGATGAGGGAAAAAAGGTGAGTGGTGCGTTGAGGTATATGTGGATCAAAAAAGTTATCTATGGAGGCAAAGAAGGGAATGTATGAAAGTATAGTAGAAACCAACACTCTTATATGGATGTGGAAGCTTGGGTGGTAAATGCAGAGGAGGAACGGTTGGAGGCAGTGGAGATGTCCTGTCTAAGGCAATTGTGGTGTAAATATTATGCAAAAAATTTTCGGAGTGTGGAAATTAGGAGAAGGTGTGGAGTTAATAAAAGCATTAGTCAGAGGGCAGAAGAGCGGTTTGTTGAGGTGTTTGGTCATTTAGAGAGAATGGATCAAAGTAGAATTTACATGGAAAGCATATAAATCTATAGGGGAAGGAAAGAGGGTAGGGGTCGTCCTCGAAAGGGTTGGAAAGAGGGGGTAAAGGAGGTTTTGTGGGCAAGGGGCTTGGACTTCCAAAAAGCGTGCATGAGCGTTTTTAGATAGGAAGTGAATGGAGAAAGAATGAATACTTGGGACTTTACGATCTGTTGGAGTGTGAGCAGGGTAAAAATTTAGTGAAGGGATTCAGGGAAACCGGTTATTTCATATAGTCCGACTTGAGTCCTGGAAATGGGAAGTACAATGCCTGCACTTTAAAGGAGGGGTTTGGGATATTGGCAGTTTGGAGGGATATGTTGTGTATCTTTATACGTATATGCTTCTAAGCTGTTGTATTCTGGACACCTCTGCAAAAGCAGTGATAATGTGCGAGTGTGGTGAAAGTGTTGAATGATGATGAAAGTATTTTCTTTCTGGGGATTTTCTTTCTTTTTTTGGGTCACCCTGCCTCGGTGGGAGACGACCGACTTGTTGAAAAAAAAAAAAAAAAAAATTAAAGCACAAAGTACGTTGTCTAAATTTCAAATAATTTTAATTATAATCAAGAAACTAGTAAAATAATTTTGTATGTGCAGTAGATTTTGTGCCATAATTTGAGAAAAAATATTATATTGATTCAAATTTTGTACCTAATAAAATTCACCAATCTGAGGCAATGAAATGTACACAAGTACATTACATCCAACTTGCTTTATGTGCATTTGGCTTTTTAAGTTTTAATTTTGTGGCCCAAGAATTATGAGAACATTGCTATCTTCACTACCAGTTCTTAAATTTTATGCTATTCATCAAGGGCTCTTAATCAGTTAGAAAAATCAAAGAATGTATCTCTCCCTCTAAATAATTATGCCACATAATTAACATTTTCAGGGTCCAGACTCCCAATCTAAAACTTGTCCACAGGGTCCAAGAATTTTCCAAAAAAAATTTTAATTATGAAATGGTAGAGAATCTATCTGAAGGTAATAAAACAAAAGGTATGAAACGATGGGAAATTTATGAAATTACACTACTGTGAATTTTGCTGCATCAGCGATATTTACGCATTGGCGATTTTTGCCCACTCTGACTCCTATTTTAGGCCAATTACATTGTCCCAGGTGACCAAATTCTTAGCTATTTCACTAGCATGCCTTTTATTTTATCGACTGAGCACGAGAAACTGCCCAATCAACTACCCAATAGTGATCAGAAATTGGTAATTTGGTCAATTCATGCAAATTTCAAAATAGTGTCCAGAATAAACAATGACGGAATTCCTGGCACTAAAATAACATTTCCTTTGTTTATTAGTTATGTTTCCAGGCTTTACACACTAATTCAATTTTTATTGTTTAATTCACAATTTTTATTCACACCAAAAAATAAAAGATTTACTGTTATGCAATAATGTAATAATTGTATAAATGATATCGGTGCATTCATGTATGCATGTTAGACCCATCAGCTGACATGTATTGGAAGTGTGATGTGATTTGTTTACTCTTGAACATCAGCAAAAATCGAGCTCGATTTCAAGCTATTTTCACTCCTAAAACTAATCAATATTATCTCTATTTCTGTATTATATCTTCCATTCTATCAAATGAGACAAGAAACTGTGAATACAACCATAAAAATCATACATAAATACACTGCAAAATTGCTGTTTTAATCCAAAAACTTTTTTTTTTCTCATTATGCACCGCGTGCTGCAGGATTTTTTTTATATGGTGCACACTTGCCACAGATACGTACACTCATATTTAGGCCCAAATTTACCACTCGCAGCTTATGTGAGTGAGCTGAGTTCATGGCGTAGAACTACGGCACTGACCTTGGCTTCAAAGCCATAGAATTATGTCACTGACCCTGGCTTCAAAGCCTTAGAACTATGGCACAGACCCTCAAAAGGTTAAGCCACGTATTCATGCAGGGTGGGCCAGAAGTGGAGAAGTACTGTGACATTTTTAGCGGCCTCCCCAGAAGCACAGTCCTGAGCACTATGTAGAATCAATGTGTACTCAACACTTAAATTACTTTTTATTCAACACTACCCTTTTTCTTTGAGAGGAATCTGTGGCATGCTTCACTAATGAAGGGACAAGTATTTACTTTGTTTAATGATTTCTTCATTAAAATTTTGCAGTGTACGACTCCAATGGTTTTAATTCTGCTAAGAGTAAATTATTCGGCTATGAATTCTAATTCAAATTCTTAGACCTTCCAATAGTTAATGCAGTGCTAATTATCAAAGAGGAATAAAGATAATAGTTCTAATAAATGGTGAACCCTAGATGCAATGGCATCTGCTGTAATGTTTTATGCCTTCTTATTTATTTGAGCTTTATAAAAACCTACCTGTATTGTTTAGTAATCATGTTATTTAATAAAAGAATCCTGTACTTTGTAAGCAAGCAATGACTGTATACAACTGTGTCTGTGTATGATATAGTGTATATTTGCATTTTTCCTTTTCCTAAAAAAAATCTAACAAACATTAGGACAGAATAAAATACTGCATGACTATCTGCTTTGGAGATTAAACAGAACTTAAAAAAGCATACAATAGGCTAAAAAAAAAAAAAAATTCAAGTTGTGATAGTTGGAAAGAATAACCAACTTTGACTGCCACATTAGATTTCATTAGTGTGGAATCCTTCAAGTGGTGTGTGGAGAGAAGTGGTTTTTAAGGCTTGACCTGTATAAAATTTACTGCATTTCTGTTTTAAAATTGATGTGGTTAATAGATTCTTAATTCAATAGCTACCTGGTTTCATTATTATAAAATGCATATATTTTAAGTGTATAAAACACTATAAAAACTTAAAAAAAAAAAATAAAAAAAAAATACAGTAACCACTTAAGGCTAGTAAAATATACATATATCACACTGCTACATATATAGCATTTGAAAATGAAATTAAATAAAATATATAAAATAAAACTAGAGAATGATCAACAAATTTGATTAATTTAACAACCTTCATAATTATTTATCGCATGAGGAGTGATGCTGTGGAGCACACAATTTCCTCTAGAATACTTGCCATAACAACAAGTGGGGATTGAATAAATTTTAAACATTGCCCACAAAATGGTAATTGGATAATATAGTTTTAAATATTTACAGCTTCTTGAAAAGCAGTTAATAGTTATGCTTAATAATAAACCATACCACGGGCGGGATTGAACCCGCAGTCAGAGAGTCACTTAATAATAAATAAATATCACATGGATTTTTTTTCCAGTAAAATTTGTATTAGATCAGATTTTTATATTAAAGCTCATGAGATGAAACCTATACTTATGGGTACTGTACTCTGATGTACTGGATAAATATACATGAAAATAATTATTTGTATCAACGAAACAAATCATGTATATATAACTTTCGACAGCCATTATATAAATATATACATACAGTATCTAAAGACTACATACTACATGCTCGCTTTTTTTGCACAGAAATCTAAAAAAATTAGGGATATAAAGTTTCACCACTGCAATTATACTGGTAACATTTATAAGTAATTTCTTTTACAACTAGATGCAGTTGCCTAAAATGAATAGTTCCACTCTGTGATACACATGATACAACAATATTTTTAATATCTAACAAAAGTGTCTTAACATGCTTAACAGCTTGTTTTCTAATTAAAATAAAAGAAATGATTCAACAATCTTCGAAAACCTACTCTTAGCAATACAAGGTTTCAAGTTATTAGACAATATCCGTCATTAGACTCTTGGCATCCCTGATACAACATTCTGTTGGATCAACAATTCTACTCTTGATTTCAGATTCTGCTACAACTTCTGGATTTAATCTGAAAAATCATAGTGAATGGTAGAACTTACATGAAAACATTAATTCTGAACTACACAGTGGAAATAGTAAGAGACACATAACAAAGCAGTGATTCCCAATATGTTTTTCTGCAATCTTGAACTAGTGATCCACAAGACCTTAAGGCTCATTTGTTTGACAGAATGATATTTATTTTTCTAAATTTGTAATATAATTTTTAAAGAAATCTGGTATTAATCAAAGTAAAAAGATTACTGAATTATAACATGTGCATATTAAGCAAGTGATTATGTTGTTTCACATGCAAAAAATATACATGTATATGTGAACATATACTGAACATAAAATGTTAAAAGAAAAATCTGTTAAAAAAAATAGAAATCCTTTAAATTCAGTGGCTATGCTGATTTTGCATTTTCTCATTCAGTTCAGTTACTGAGTGAGAGGGCACAACACGGGTCAAACTGTAGGTCAAGAGTAGAGATCCTGCCTGTCCTGACTGCAACTAGACAAGAAAGTCCTGCCTCAAGGATAAGTATAGTATAGTAGTTGGAAACATGCTGGGATGCTTCTCCTTCATGAGAAAGAACAGGTTTCTCCAAATGCCAAGTCCAGAACTGTGTGACAAAGAAACCTCACAATGTATTTTGTATCTACCTGTGCTTCTAAATATTAGTATTTAACCCTTTGAGAGTCCAGAGGCCAAATCTCAGAGTGACAGCCAGAGTCCAAGACTTTTCAAAAAAAAAATTTGTTATTTTTTTCTTATGAAATGGTAGAGAATCTTTTTCTGAAGGTAATAAAACAAAAAGTATGAAATTTCATGGAAAAGTGACGAAATTATGCTCTTGCGAATTTTGCTGCATAAAGCGATACTTAGGCATTAACAATTTTGCCGACTTTGACTCCCATTTTAGGTCAATTACATTGTTCCAGTTGACCAAATTCTTAGCTATTTCACTAGTATTACTTTTATTTTATCGACTGGATACAAGAAATCACCCAGTCAACTGTTTCAACTACCCAATAAAGTGATCGGAAATTAGTAATTTGGTCAATTTAACACAAAGTTCAAAATATTCCAGTTTCAAGAGACCAGAATAAACAATGCAGGTATTCCTGGCATTAAACTAACATTTCCTCTGTTTATCAGTTATGTTTCTAGGTTTTACAAATGAATTCCATTTTGATTTTTTATTCACATAATGAATTTTTATTCACACCAAAAACTAGAAGAGTTACTGTTACGCAATATTGTAATAATTGAATAAATAATATCAGCACTTTCTTTTTGGGGATTTTCTTTCTTTTTTGGGTCACCCTGCCTCAGTGGGAGACGGCCGACTTGTTGAAAAAAAAAAAAAAATATCAGCACATTCACGAACGTACATTAGACCCACCAGCTGACGTATATTAGACCCACCAGCAGTTTCCCAACAAGGTAGGGTGACCCAAAAATGAAGAAACACTTTCATCATCATTCACTCCATCACTGTCATGCCAAAGGCATGCCTACACTGCAGTTCAATAACTGCAACATATCTCCAACCCCACCTTCAAAGTGCAGGTGCTGTACTTCCCACCTCAAAGACTCAAGCCTGGCTAACTGGTTTCCCTGAATCCCTTCATAAATGTTAATATGCTCACACTCCAGCAGCACATTGAATCATAAAAACCATTGGCTTCCCTACTCGCTCCTATCCAACAAGCTCACGCACGCCTGCTGGAAGTCCAAGCCCCTTGCACACTAAACCTCCTTACCCCCTCCCTCCACCTTTCCTAAGATGAACCCTAATCTGCCTTCCTTTCACTACAAATTATTTGGTTTGTGTTTGGGAAAATATTTGCTCTGCCTACTAGCTAAAGAAAGAATGGCTGTAAGATGAAAAGCATTTTTGTAAAGCTTATAAAAATTTCTTATTCAACACTATTTTTCTAAATTACAAGTCATACAGATATGGTATACCTACTGTATGAAACTCATGTAATATACAAGAGAACGTAGCTCTGGAGATACCTGATAAAAGCTTACCCTTCAGTCAATTCCTCAGTCTTGTTTTGCAACCGAGTCTGAAGCATATTGACTTCTGCCTTGAGAGATGATAAACAGGATTCTAAGTTGGTAAGTGGCAGTGTGGGTCGTAATGGACGGGCAGACCTCTCCATCAGCTTGGTTAAGGCAGTCAGATCAAGTGGAGATGGAGAGGGAATAACCCCTAATTCTGACTTGATGGCTGAAGCTTCTGCTGCTCTTGCTTCCTCCTCCTCTTTATGTGCCTAGGAAAAAGAGTAATCTGATTGATACTAGTCAAACACTTTATAAGACCTACTGGCAGATGTTCAGCAAGAAATATCCTCCTAATACAGTACCATACATGCTCCTCACATTGTTCATCTCTATTGTTGTAGCACTCAATTTTTCTCATTCACACTGAACCAATGATTCTCAGCTGTACATAGAGGTGGAACAATTGCTCCATGAAGCCCTTCTACCATATACCTTCCTCTTCTTAAGAAGGAGTTTCTGTGCAGCAGCTACTTTCCTTCCCTCACTTATTCTGCACACATGCACAAATTTCTTTTAATTAATTTAACACACACAAAATACTGAGAGGATTTGACAAGGTGGGCAGAGACAGAATGTTCCAGAGATGGGACACAGCAACAAGAAGACACAGTTGGAAATTGAAGACACATATGAATCACATGGATGTTAGGAAGTATTTCTTCAGTCACAGAGTAGTCAGGAAGTGGAATAGTTTGGGAAGCGATGTAGTGGAGGCAGGATCCATTCATAGCTTTAACCCTTTGACTGTTTTCGACATATAAATACGTCTTACGAGCCAATGTTTCTGACGTATATATACTCAATAATTCTAGCGGCTTCAAATCAAGTGGGAGAAAGCTGGTAGGCCCACATGTGAGAGAATGGGTCTGTGTGGTCAGTGTGCACCACATAAAAAAAATCCTGCAGCACACATTGCGTAATGAGAAAAAAAAAACTCTGATCGTTTTTTTGGAATAAAACGCCGACTTTGAGGTGTATTTTCGTATAGTATTTATCGTTGTATTCGCGTTTTCATGGTCTTAGGTGATAAAATGGAAAACATATTACAGAAACAGAGATGATTTTAATTACTTTTACGATGAAAACGACCTTGAAACTGAGCTCAAAGTAGCGGAAATGTTCGATTTTTACCAATGTTCAAGAGTAAATAAATCACACCACACGTCCAATACACGTCAACTGGGGAGTCTAATATTCTTTCACTAGTGCACTGATATTATTTATACCATTTTTACAATAATGCAGTCGTCTGCATAACAGTAAATTTTGTATTTTTTTGTATGAATAAAAAATCAAAATAGAAAGCAATAATAATATAAGAGGGGCCTAGAGATGTGACTAATGAACAGAGCATATGTTATTTTAGTGCCACGAATGTCTACCTTGTTTATTCTGGACCCTATTTTGAAATTGGCATCTTTTTTATTTTGCGTGAAATTGGCCAAATTGCCAATTTCTGACCACCATATTGGGTAGTCCAAATTAGTAAATGGGAGGTTTCTTGTACTCAGCTGATAGATAAAATGGAGTTCTAAAGAAATAGCTATGAGTTTGGTCAACTGGAACAACGGAATTGGCTGAAAATTGGGCTCAAAGTCGGTGAAATCGCCGATACGCATATGTCGCCGAGACCGCTAACTTCGCGGGAGCATAATTCCACGAGTTTTCGACCAAATTTCGAACTTTTGGTGTCATTACCATCGGGAAAAGATTCTCTATCATTTCATAAGAAAAAATAAATTTTTTTTTTTTCAAAAATTGAGCGACATAGAATGACAGTTTCAGAGAGGGGCCTGAAACAGTCAAAGGGTTAATAGAGGTATGATAAAGCTCATGGTGTGGGGAGAGTGACCCAGTAGAGGCCAGTGAAGAGGCAGGGCCAGGAGCTATGACTTGACCCCTGCAACCACAACTAGATGAGTACATACGCATGCACGCACGCACGCGCGTGCACACACACACACACACACACGAAGAAAGGTTGAGGGAAATCGGCCTGAAAACACTGGAGGACAGGAGGGTCAGAGGAGACATGATAATGACATACAAAATATTGAGTGGAATAGATAATGTGGACCAAGACAGGATGTTCCAGAAAGGGGTCACAATTGGAAGCTGAAGGCTCAGGCGAGTCACAGGGATGTTAGGAAGTACATATTTCTTCAGTCAGGTAATCGACTAGGCCTCATAATATCTTCCTCAAAAACAAAGATATTAACAAGCAAACGACATCCCCCACCCATCTATTTGCAGGGTGAAATCATTAGCTACGTTAAAACTTACAGATATCTTGTGTAGATGTACCCTTTAACAAATCCACTATACCACAACTAAACAAGAAATGCAAAGCTAGGCTAAATGCTCTCAAAGCTGTTGCTGGCTACAACCCCAACTATGGTGCTAATGTGAGAATCGTAAGAATGATGTACATAGCCTATGTTAGGTCCTTAATTGATTATGCTGCTCCCATGTTGATATTGGCTAGAGAAAGTTCTCTCCGACCCTTGGAGTTAATGCAAAATGAAGCTCTCTCAGGATTATTCTTGGCTGTCCCAGATCTACCAAAGTTCTTAACATGAGGAAGGAGCTTGGTATTTCTAGTATCAGTGATAGGATTATTGAGATTAACACTGTACTCGGTATTAGAATGTTGAGAAACGTACCAGACACTGTCACAATGAATCTTACCAAGTGTCTAGAGGTAAATACACACAGATCTAAATGGATTGTGAAAACGTGCAATTACATCAAGTTTTATAACCTGCATGAACTGTATCACTGTAGGAAACCCAAGAGCATTTCACCCCTCCGTGGAAGATATGTTCATTTAATATCACATACCTGCAAAGTCCCTCCCAAGAAGCTCATTGCTAGTAATCCCTTCCTTAAATCTCTTGTTAGAGCAACTGCTCAAGAAGAAATTTCTCAACTAGCTGGTAGTAATAAGTTATCACAAGTTATATACATGATGGATCTAAACAGGAGTCTTCTGGCAGGGCTGCATCTGCTCTTGTTGCCACCTCCCTTGTTAAAACGATAATAAATTTGTTGAGTTAGGCATAAGAATTAACAACTGGGTGTCTACACTGCAAACTGAATTGTTTGCAATCCTAATGGCGCTAAAGCTAACCTATGACACTGAGCTTGACTCTATCATCATTACTGATTCTATGTCATCATTGAAGACTCTTGACTCATATAATGACTCCAACAACATGCTCATTGGAGAAAAACCAGGTATAGATACTCAAAAATTAGGGACAAAGGAATTAATGTACAATTGCTATGGATCCCATCACACATTGGATTACTCCTTCATGATAAAGTTGATATGTTAGCCAAAAAGAGTACCCAGAAGGAGAATGTAGAATATAACTTTGGTATAACTGTGTCTAGCATTAGGAATAATATTAGGAGAGAAGTAAATAATGAAAATGATTGTTATAGGAATGCAGTTAGAAGCCTGAGTAGATCTATAACCCACTATGATAACATGAACATAGATAAGTATGTTTATGGAGCAACTTGCAATGTGAACAGACTGACTGATGTTGTAGTGGCCAGGCTTAGGCTTGGTTACAAGTACTTCTGGCAGTTTGGGAGACACACAGATGATCAAACTAAATGTAAATTATGTGATCAGGCATATGGTCACTGTCTTGAACACTATGTGCTTAATTGTCCACTTATTGAAGAATACAGAGACATACAGTACAATAACCTATGTGACATGTCAAGATATCTTATTAATGAAAATAAGATACCAGATATACTAAGCAAATTTCCTAAATTTGCTTGTAACAGATAAGTGAACTATAGATATGTAGACATAAATCTATATGTATTCCTGTTAACCCTTTGGGGCCTAGCTCCTAGGCCTTTTGTGTATCCATATGCTCTCGCGCTACCGTCCACAGGATGGATATGGGGTGCACAATAAACTAGCCACTTCAGTGGCAAAATCTAATCTTCAGTCAGAGTCGTCAGGAAGTGGAATAGCCAAGAAAGTGATGTAGTGGAGGCAGGAACCATACACAGCTTTAAGACGAGGTACCACAAAGCTCAGGGAGCAGAGGGAGAGAGGACTTAGTAGCGATCAGTGAAGAGGCGGGGCCAGGAGCTGAGTCTCGTCCCCTGCAACCACAATTAAGTGAGTACGTGTACACACACACACACACACGACTGCAGGAAGGCCTTTGACACAGTTCCCCACAAGAGATTAGTGCAGAAGCTGGAGGATCAGGCGCATGTAACAGGGAGGGCACTGCAATGGATCAAGAAATACCTGACAGGGAGGCAGCAACGAGTCATGGTACGTGAACAGGTATCACAGTGGGCGCCTGTGACGAGCGGGGTCCCACAGGGGTCAGTTCTAGGACCAGTGCTATTTTTAATATATGAGAACGACATGATGGAAGGAATAGACTCTGAAGTGTCCCTATTCGCAGATGATGTGAAGCTGACGAGAAGATTAAATTCGGATGAGGATGAGGCAGGACGCAAAGAGACCCGGACAGGCTAGACATGTGGTCCCGAAAATGGCTTCTCGAATTCAATCCTGTCAAATGCAAGTCATGAAGATTGGGGAGGGGCAAAGAAGACCGCAGACAGAGTATAGGCTAGGTGGACAGAGACTACAGACCTCACTCAGGGAGAAGACCTCGGGATGACCATAACACCGAGCATGTCACGGAGGCACACATCAACCAAATAACTGCTGCAGCACACGGGCGCCTGGCAAAAACCCGAGAATAGCGTTCTGATACCTTAATAAGGAATCGTTCAAGGCACTGTACACTGTGTATGTAGGCCATACTGGAGTATGCAGCACCAGTCTGGAACCACACCTGGTCAAGCACGTCAACAAGTTAGAGGGAAAATACAAAGGTTTGCAACAAGGGGTAGTCCAGAGCTCAGGGATATGTTGTACGAGGGAAGGTTGAGGGAAATCGGGGCTGACGACACTGGAGGACAGAAGGGTCAGGGGAGACATGATAACGACATACAAGATACTTTCGGGGAATAGACAAGGGGACAGAGATAGGATGTTCCAGAGAGGGGACACAGGAACAAAGGGGTCACAACTGGAAGCTGAAGACTCAGCGAGTCACAGGGACGTTAGGAAGTATTTCTTCAGTCATAGAGTCGTCAGGAAGTGGAATAGCCTAGCAAGTGAAGTAGTAGATGCAGGAACCATACATAGTTTTAAGAAGAGATATGATAAAGCTCAGGAAGCAGAGAGAGAGAGGACCTAGTAACAATCAGTGAAGAGGCGGGGCCAGGAGCCGAGTCTCGACCCCTGCACCCACAATTAGGCGAGTGTGTGTGTGTGTGTGTGTACACACACACACACACACACACACACACAGAGGTCCTGGGACCAGTGCTATTCTTGGTATATGTGAACGACATGATGTAAGGGATAGACTCAGAAGTGTCCCTGTTTGCAGCTGATGTGAAGTTAATGAGAATTAAATCAGATGGAGACCAGACACGTCTACAAAGAGACCTGGACAGGCTGGATGTGTGGTCCAGCAACTGGCTCCTAGAATTTAGCCCCACCAAATGCAAAGTCATGAAGATCGGAGAAGGGCAAAGAAGACCGCAGACAGAGTATAGGCTAGGCGACCAAAGACTGCAACCCTCACTCTAGGAGAAAGATCTAGGGGTGTGTATAATGCCGGGTACGTCGCCAGAAGCACACATTAACCAGATAACTGCTGTGGCATATGGGCACCTGGCAAACTTGAGAATAGCGTTCCGGTACCTCAGTAAGGAATTGTTCAAGACTTAATACACTGTGTACGTCAGGCCCATACTGGAGTACACAGCACCAGTTTGGAACCCACACCTGGTCGAACACGTCAAGAAATTAGAGAAAGTGCAAAGGTTTGCAACAAGGCTGGTTCCAGAGCTAAGGGGAATGTCTTACGAAGAAAGGTTAAGGGACATCGGTCTGACGACACTGGAGGGCAGGAGGGTCAGGGCAGACATGATAATGACATACAAAATACTGCGTGGAATAGACTAGGTGGACAAAGACAGGATGTTCCAGAGATGGGACACAGAAACAAGGGGTCACAATTGGAAAATGAAGACTCAGATGAGTCAAAGGGGTGTTAGGAAGTATTTCTTCAGCCACAGAGTTGTTAGGAAGTGGAATAGTCTGGCAAGTGATGTAGTGGAGGCAGGAACCATACATAGTTTTAAGACGAGGTATGATAAAGCTCATGGAGCAGGGAGAGGGAGGACCCAGCATCGGTCAGTGAAGAGGCGGGGCCAGGAGCCGAGTCTCGACCCCTGCAACCACAACTAGGTGAGTAGACACACACAAAAGAAAAAATAATACTCTTAATCAATCACATCCTTTGCATAAATACTCATCAACAGATACATGTACTAGTAATCTGTCATTCACCCTGATTAAAAGTCCAGATTTTCCATCTTTGAGATTAATTTTCATTTACTAACACTCACTTTAAGCAGATTTTCTCCTTTAATCTTTTAATAGTATAAACTTGTATTTTAAATATATTTCACATTACCATAAAGTTTCATTCTTAGAACAAATATTTAAATTCTTGGCAAGATTAACCTCAGACCTGAATTATTAAAATGAATCTGTTGGCTTTGAAGAAAATTTATTACAGTACACCTGTATTTATATTACAATATACATGTATAATACTAAAATCACAGTTTTCATGATTAATCTGTTCCAGAGAATCTGATGAAACCCAAAAATCACAAAAATCAAAATAATTTTCCCCATAAGAAACAATGTAAATCCAATTAATCCGTTTCAGACACCCAAAAGTACGTATTAACAAAAAATATGTTTTATAGAGAATAACTATAGTTTTACATACAGAAAACAATGAGAAATAAATATAAAGCACTATTGAAATGGATAAATAAACATTTAAGTCACTTTTACCCTTATTGAAGAGTCTTGCTGGTGTATAGAGTTTATTGATTGGACACAGGATAAAATGCTTAAATATGATGCTAATATCAACTCTAAGGCTTATTCATCTATCAAAATTCATCTAATGTGACATAATAAACAATATTAATAAAGAAGAAACATGATACATACTCTAGAATGAATAAAATACACCTACCATCCAACTTACGACTTGCTCGACATACGACTACTCTACTTAGGACCATGTTTTGTATGCAGATGTTCTGGGAAATAAACAACTGTTTGTATTGTACACAGTGTTTCTCCTAAACCTAACAGTATAAAATACAGTACTAACAGCATAATAAGTAAAGTAAAATACAAAATACCAAAATAAAACAAAATAAAATCATTACATGATGTGATGCTGATATTCAGTAGTAAGGCTCGACTTACGTCCATTTTGACTTCCGACTGGTTAGTCAGAACCAAGTTCGGTGGTAAGTCGGATGGTAGGGCACATCATTATGTATGTGAGGAGTGGTGGTGGTGTTGGATTTATAAGGTCCACTGACAGCATAAGCCATACATAGTGGTGGTGGCGACAGCAGAGGCCACCACCACTAGTCATGCTGAAACAATGTACATCTGTAATTTATAAATAAGAAATATTTACACTTACCTTGGAGGAGATGCTGGCATTGGTTTAGGGTGGTGGAAGATACGCAGGGCAGCATATCTTGTCAGTGGCCCTATATACCTCCAACAACATTGGTGGAGTTAGTTTCGTGTCGTACTTTTTCTATCGCTTAATTGCTTAACTTACTTGCTACACTGTTAACCCTTAAACTGTCCAAACATAGAGATCTACGTTTTTTTTACATGCTTTCAAATGGGGAAAATCAAGGTAGGAGCGCTATGCACGTGAACGTAGATCTACGTTTGGACAGTTTAAGGGTTAATGCTACACTTTATTGCTGGCTGGTTCTATAACCTTTATCGACTCCTGCTCCTTTAGTACCGTACATATTATTGAATCACTGAAGGCGGCACATTCTCCCCTCTCTCTTCCTCCTCCACTTTGGTACTTTGCTATGAATTCTTTCTTGAATTCTATCATGTTTCTCACCTTCTTTACCACAGAGCTGGCACTAGGAGCTTTCTTTGGGCCCATGGTGGCTTATTTAGCACTCTCTCACAATAAACAAGCGCAAAAAAAATGCATTATTAAGAAATGTTTTGTATGACCTTGCAGGGTAATGTTTACTCGCCGAGAAATTGTGCCACACTGACTCAGAATGGTATGTGGGAGGCTTTGTGTGCGCGCGGCACTTGGACGTGCTCCGTACAACCGATGAAACCAGAGGGAATTAATGAAAACAGACTATTTCGATGAAAAAAAGCCAGTGATAACCTAAAATCATGAAATCAGAGGCTAACGAAAACAGAGGATCCACTGTACTATCAATTTAAAATAAAATTAGAATTTAAAATTGTTAACAAATTGTTTCTAGTTAAAGGGTGGTGTGCTTGACCTATAAATGTGTTTACTGACCTTGAGCTGCCTAAGAGTTGTGTGCAGAGCAGTCCGTAATTCAGTAGCCTGAGTTTGGTAACTAACTCTTTCCTGCTGGACTTGGTCTAGCTGTGAGGTTAGTGTGACCACTTCCTGTCTGGCTAAAGCCACACTTTGCTCTGCTTGGGATATTTTCACCTGGTGGTTGGAGTCTTTGATTATCAACTGCTTTCTGAGTTGACATATTTCCTCCTTGCCAACCTTCACCTCACCCTCAGCCACCTAATAACAAAATGAAATTACAACATTTTATACCTTAAAATACACAGTATTAAAATCCAAACCTCTTGAATGTGTAAATAATCAACTAGTGGGTAGCATCAGTTGCCTATGAAGACCTGACCATATGGGATGTTCTTTATTCCTTTGGATTTTCTAACACTTTACTAGATTTACAAAAAATTAATTTTTTTAACCCGTCAAAATATCCATCTCTTTTAATATCAACAGAATTTGTACCAATTACTCTAGTATATTTATTACGAAAAAAATACAAACTTTAATATGATTTTCCAGTGCAGTAATTTTGGCTAGACACTCGTGCAGCTGCACTCTGGTATTCTGGTTTTCCTGCATTAGTAATTGCTTTTCTTCCCTCAGATGCTTCATTTCAGTACACTGATGTTCATATTTATTGTCAGCTTTACCCATACAATTTCTCAATTCTGCATTCACAGTCTGCAGTTGGCTTACACTCTGATGAGCTCTAGTCAGTTCCTCATCTTTGGTTTTTAGCTCTTGTCTTAGAACTGAGAGAGTATTTTCTGCAGAATTCATCTGAAATGGTTAACACAAGACTAATTATTGTTATCACAATTTTTCTTTGTAACAAGTGAGAACAAAGTTATAAATTTAATCCTGTAACAAGATATTGTATAGCACATCTTATTTTATAATGAATTTTAACACTGAGTTCATTTTCAGCCTTACTTAAAATCAACCACTCAGTGCACCCAACACTGTGTTGTAATTACTTGTCCCTACACCTACCACAGGGATTAAAATGTCTTAAATCATAGTTAGTACTTAATTACTATAAATATGTATTCAGTACATTAGAAGAGGACAACTACTACAATGATTGGTAAGCGAATTTTTTCTATCTTTTAATTTATAAATATATTGCAAATATTATTGACTTGAGGCCTACAGATTATTTGGTAATCTACGTGTTTATTGAAAATTTCTGGCCTCAATGATATTTCTCTACTAGCTAGAGGACTTTCCAGCACTAACCTCATGTTGAACATGTTCATTTTTGCACTTCATTTCTTGTATTGTAGAGGTGAGAGAAGCAATGTGTTTTTGCAACTGACTGAGTTCCTCATGGGCAGACTGTAACACTCTCTCTGACTCATTCACTTGCTTTTCCTTCTGTCTGATTCTTTCTTCCAAGTTGCTTACTTGCACTCGTAAATTGTTAGAGGTCTTGCAAATTTCTATTGAACAAGATACATTCATTAGGCATGATTTTAGTTATTTTAATCATAGGGGAAGAGCTAAATTTGTAGGTTTTATATAATGCTTGAGGAATAGGAAGCATTCAGATTCACTCTAAGGAAGGGAAGGGTAAGTCCAGTTCCCTGGATCAAGAGCCCCTCACTGGCATCAAAGCACTTCTCTTGAGAGGTTATTGGGGATGAGAAAGATGATGATGATGATCATCAATTTAAGCACTAAACCCAAAAGGGTCATATTACAGATGAGAGGTAATTATAAGTATGTAGTAATGTAGTATCATATACAGTGTACACTCACAATATAAACTCGAGCCATAATAAACGACTGTCAATGAATAAACAGAAGAATGGATGAGAATTTGAACCAAGGTCCTGACAAGTAGCAGGTCCAATGCTGCACCACTAAAATGTGAGGCTTTTAGTAGGAAGATTTCAGAGACAACTTCTGCTCGTGTCATCGTCAGCAGTCACCATGCAACTACCGCCTCTTCCCACAGCCTAGAAGTTTTCATAATATGTCTATTCTCATACCCATCGAAGATACATAGTCCATAAACTCAAGATAAGTCGTAATAAATAAATGTCATTGAATAAACAAAAGAATGGACAGGCACACAAACAGCTGTCTCCGAAATCTTCCTAGTGAAAGCCTTGTAGCTCAGTGGTACAGCATTGGACCTGCTCCATGTCAGGACTATGATTTGAGTCTCATTCATACTTCTGTTTATTTTCATGATATTAGTAGTGCATGAAGACAAAATGCAAACATAAGGGCATGTTTATTAGAAATGTTTTAGTCATGGGACTCGAGTCACTCCATGATATTACTACTGCATGATATTACTTATGCAATTTTCTATGCAATAAATACTTTTAAGTCATTATATACCTTATTACAATATTCTCATTTAAATTTTAATTGTCATATACAAGTAAGCAGCTCATTATTTGGTAAGTTTAAGATAGAGGGTACCAGGTCTGGATACAAATAATGAAAAACAGAATTGTAATTCACCTTGTAGTCGTCCTATCTCCTTTTGCAGTTTAAGCGTGTTGCTGTGATGGTCATAGGCCTCCTGGCGTGCATGTGCTAAAGCATTACGTACCTCCTCAACTTCACTCTCTAAGCCAGTAATTTGGCCTTCTAGAGTTTCTCTCTGTCCTTCTAACTCCATACACCTGTAAGATCATAAACTGATTTAATATCACTTACATTCTTACTAAGTAAAAGTTAGCTCCTGTCTGTCTTCTAGCCTCTCATATTCTAATCTTATCTTCACACAATATAAATAAATAAATCCTCACCTGCATCTTAGCACAGCGTATCTCTGCTGTTCTTCATTCAACAAACGCTGATGAACCTCGGCTTGTGCCTGCATTTCATTTTCTGCTGATTTTCGTCCCTTCATGTGCTCTTTAAGTTTCCTGGTCAGTAGTCGAACATTGGATTCATAACGTCGTCGTTTCTCGCTAAATTCACTAGCTGCACAAGCCATTTTTTCTTGTTTGTCTTGAAGTTGAACCTCTTTAGTAACAATTTCAGATTCTAATTCTTTAATCTTATCTATCAGGGACTGGATTTTTGTATATTCTTCTCTTGTAGGATGGGCTTCTCTCTGATTATCACAGTTGCAAGTAGTGGTAGATAATTTCAGATGTTGAATTCTCTCAAGAAGTTCATTAATTTGCTTCCTATGAAGTGACTCAGGAATCATCTCATTAGAACACACATGTGAAGATCTAGAACTAGTGATATCAGACCCTTCTTGCTTAACAGATATTAGCTCATGCTGGAGATCATGAATCTGTTGTTCCTTACTTTGCAAAGCCTCTGATGTTAAGTTAACTTGTGCTTGTAGATCTGTCATCATCCTCTCAAACTGAGTGTTATTTGTGACTGAGGCTTGTGAAGTCTCACTGAGGAAACTTAAATTTTTCACAGAAGTTGCAACTAAATTTTCTGCACTGTCATTTGCACCTGAAACTAAAAGAGATTCTTGACCATTTGAGAAAGATTGATGACTTAATGGTCCTAACTGCACTGCTGGCTGAGTGCTTGTGTCTCGCTCTGGAATACAATCTCTTAAACTCTCATACTTGGCCATCCACTCATCCTTCTCATTCTCTACCCTCTTCAGCTGCTGTTGACATTCTGAGATTTCTTCATGCACAATTTGGTATACTTCTTCAAGGTTTAAAATTTTTTGTGTCATTTCTCTTTTCTCAGCCTGTAACACATCAGCCTGAGTGCAGAGCTCCTGTTCTCTCTGTTTCAGTGTTTGAATATGAGATGCTTTTTCCTTGAGGGATAAGTTAAGAGAAGATAGTTCATTACAATTAGCATCTAGTTTTGACTGTAATTCTTTTAATTTGATTCTGACAGAGTCAATTTCTTTGGAATCTTTACCTGATAGTTCAAACTCCTTGCATCTTCTTTTTAATGTATCAAGATCTTTAAGCTTGGCCCTCATCAAAAAATTTTCCTTCTTTATGTTTTTCACTGTAAGTTGCAAACTTTCTTTTTGTTTAATTGTTTCCTTCAATTTAACTTCACAATCAGAAAGCTTTGCCTGTAAACTAGCAATTTCTTTTTGCATATTTTCAGAGCTCTTAATTTTTTTTGCACTGACATTATGCTCTGCTGAAGTCTTACTTTCTTTGACCAGAGTTTCATGGGTAATGGTTAACTTCAAATTATTATTCTCAATCAGTAAACTTTTTACTTGACTAGATAGCATATCCTTTTCCTGTTTCAGCTTTGTTAATGAAGCCTCAGTCTCATTATACATTTTCTTGAGTTTTGCAATTTCACTGGTTCCAGCTTGCAATGCAGTATGCAGCTCCATAACCTGTTTCTCTCTCTCACTGTGCAATGATATTAATTTCTCTTCCATTTCAATATTTCTCTTGGATGCAGCCTCAACCGTAACTTCTAATGTCTTAATGGTTTGAAGCTTATTTTTTAAGTTTATTTTAAAACTATCTAGCTCCTCAGTAGTTTTTGTCATGTTGCTTTCTAGCCTTCCCTTTTCCTCTTGCACACCTTGTAGTTCTTTATGTAGTTCACTATATTTTCTTTCTAATTCAACTTTACCTTCCTGATTCTGTAACTTTTCATCTTTAATTGCTTGAAGTTCTCGGGACAGTTCAGTGACCATTATGCTAACATTTTCCTTTTCTTTTAATATCTTGATCTTTTCTTCTTCATACGTCTTAACCAAGCAATCAATCTTCTTCTCGAGGTTTTGCTTCAGTTTGCGTTCTTTTTGGATACTATCCTTCAGATCTGACTTTTCTTTTTTCTGACTGTTTTCATATTCAGCATATGCTTCAGCATCGTGTCTCAGGGCCAAAGTCTCTTGTTTAAGGGCTTCCCAGTTTCTTTGCAACTCAATGTAGGTTTTTTCCATTGCTGAATTCTGTTCATGGACAATATACAGTTCCTCATCTTTTTTTAAGATAGCTTCTCGGTAGTTTTCCAGACTACTTTGCATATTTTGAATCTGCTCTTCACGCAAATGCACTGCTTCACCTAATCCTTTCTTTTCTATTTCCAGTGTTTTTGATGCTTTCTTTAGAAGTGCCAATTCTTCATCCCGTTTCTCTCTTTCTGCAAAACTCTCTTTAACAGACAGTCGAAGCTTTTCAACCTCCTGAATAAGTTCCTTCTTTTCCTCATCTTCTTTTGCCTTCTTTTCTAATGCTTCCAGTTTCTTTTCTAAGGATAGTTTTATCTGAATATTATCACTTGCTTCTCTTGTAAGTACTTCAATCTGGCGATCTTTTGCAGCCAGATCATGTTTCATTCTGTAGAAGTTTGAAGAAAGCCTCGTCATATCTTCTCTCACTTTTAGAATTGCATCATCTACTTCTTTCTTTTCACTGTATGCACCAGAAAGTGAAACCTCAAGTTTCAGTTTTTCTTCTTTCAGTGTGTTGATCAGTAAGTCCTTATTTTTTCTTTCTTCTTGATAATCTTTTGTTGACAACTTCATCTCTCTCAAAGTGTGTTCAAGATTCTCAATGTGAGTCTCTCTTTCTCTAAGGACTTCTTGATTAACGGCTGAAGAAGTTCTCAAGTCTTTAAGTTCACTCTCGTATTTTGATAAAAGAATACATTTGTGCTTCAAATCATCCCTGAGAAAATCTAGATGTCTTTCTGCATCAGAGAGATCAAGGCGAAGTTTATGTATGCGATGGCGATCCTGTTCTAACCTCTGTCGTCTGTCTTCCATTAGTCTGGTATCATTACCACGGTCACGTTCCAGCTGAGAGAGTACAGCTTCACGTTCAGCCATATCTGCCTGTAGAGCTTCCAGGTGTGCAACTAGTGTTGCTTTTTTTCTGACTGCTCTTGCTTGCCCATCCTCAGCCTCACGAATTAATGTTTGCACCTTGGTCTCGAGAGTTTCCTTCTCTGAACCAATTTTGGCCAGACTTGCTCGTGCCTCCAGTAACTCTTGCTGTAAGTTTGATCGTGCAGCTTGAGCAATCTGAAGTTGCTCTTGGTACCATACACTTGAAGTCTGCAAGGTCTGAAGTTCAGTTGATGCTTTATTTAATGCTAATGTTGCCTGGACCTGTGCCTCAGACCTGGTTTGACACTCATTTTGCAACTGTGCTATATGTGATCTTAAGCCTTTTATTTCTCCAATGAGTTGGGTCTCACTATCTCTTAACTGTGCCAAAGACAATTCTAACTGTTCATGTTTCTCCTCATGATCTAAGTTTTGTCTTTGTATCTTTTCATAATCATTATTCATTCTTCCAATTTTCCCTTCTAATTCTTTTATGTTTACCTCAAGCTCCTTGTTGGTCTCCTCATATTTTCTTAATCTTGATCTCATTTGCACCTCGGCTTCCTTTGCTGATACAGCCAAACTTTTGCTGGCTTCACACTCTTTCAAAATATCTGAAACCTTGGTCTGTAACTGATTTTTCTCATAAACCGAATTTTCTAATTCTTGCTTCAGAAGTTCTAGTTGCCCTTCTAAATTAGCTCTTTGTTTCAAGACTTCAAAATACTGCTTTTGATTGGTTTCTGTAACTTTAGTCTGCATTAACTCTAATTGTTGCTGGTAAAGCTCTTTTTCCCGTACAGCATTCTGTACCTGAATGGACAGTCGATGAAGCTGTATCTCCAAGTCTTCTTTCTGAGCTTGGAGGTCACGAATTACTTTTTCATTATCGACAGAGGGCACTGATTTTGACAGGGAAGGTTTGCTATTAATTCTGCTTATCATTTTTTTATAATCCTCAGGTGGTATTACTGCATCTGATACAAGGTGTTTGATTTTAATATATTCATCTTCATATCCACTGAGATCAGAGAGTGTGGATAAATTGGATGATGTCTCAGAGAAGTTAGATGCAACTTCAACACCACCACTTGATCTATCTGAACGATTATCAGAAATGTTTGAGACAGATTCTAAGGCGTGACGCATCTGCATTATTGCTGCGGAAAGTACTGGTCTGGATATGGGTCCTGCAGAGTCACTTCGAGTGTCATTTAAACTCATCTTTGATGAAGCTTTACTGTGAGTAATAGGAGTGAGCTCAGAACTATTCTGAGATACAAGTGTATTGCCACTTCCAACAGAAGTGCATGTGGATGATTCACTAGTTAATGATGATTTTGATGCATAATGATTGCTTTCTTGCTTCTTTTTAAGTTTGTGTATATTTTTCTTGTGCTTCAATTTTCCTGAGGGTGGTTTTGTATCTGGATGTGTATTAGCCATGTATGAACGCTTTTCTACAACAGTTGTAATAGAACTTGCAGGGTACTGATGAACTTCCCTATACACTTCAACAGGCCCATGATCACTCATGCCTACTGGAACTGTAATAACCCTGCTCTTACTTCCTGCTTCCCTAATGGGCAATGAAGCAGTTTGTGTGTCTATTAATGTATTGAAATACTCTAGTTTTGCTACATTTGACATACTTAGTTTTGCATTCTCTTCTGGCATCCTGACATGCTGAGAGTTGTCTATTCTCTCATTACCACTGCAGGCAGTATTAAAAGTTCTATTGGGATGTTGATGAACGCTTGGATGCAAAACAGATGGCAGGGATCCTAGCACTCTTCCAGAGCTCTCATCTTCATATCCACCATCGCATGTCACTGTTGACGATGGTTTCTTCAACATATTCTTAGTAGACGAATTCAAATTATAAGCAAAAAGAAAAGTGTTTGCCTCCTCTCTTGCCACTGGACAGCTGAAGTCTTGAGAAGTTCCATTGTTTACTAGTTGTGTAACTTTGGCTTTCTTCTCCATGTTACTGACAACACTGTTTAGCACTTCTTGTGGAACAGGTGGGATCCTCAGTGAACCTGTGGGCAAGCAGATACCAGCATTTATTATGAAAAATCTAAACATACCATCTCTTGCAATTTTATGGTAAATAAAGTGCAAATTTGCTCATTATCAAGGCAAATTAATGCTGGTGTCTTTTTCTGTCTTATAAACAAGCTAGATAACAGGGATATCTTGCTACTCCAACTTACACTTTGGTCACACTTCACAGACATGCACATGCATATATATATACATACATTCAGGTTTTTCTCCTTTTTCTACACAGCTCTTGTTCTTCTTTATTTCTTCTATTGTCCATGGGGAAGTGGAAAAGAATCTTTCCTCCGTAAGCCATGCGTGTCGTATGAGGCGACTAAAATGCCGGGAGCAATGGGCTAGTAACCCCTTCTCCTGTAGACATTTACTAAAAAAGAGAAGAAGAAAAACTTTATAAAACTGGGATGCTTGAATGTGCGTGGATGTAGTGCGGATGACAAGAAACAGATGATTGCTGATGTTATGAATGAAAAGAAGTTGGATGTCCTGGCCCTAAGCGAAACAAAGCTGAAGGGGGTAGGGGAGTTTTGGTGGGGGGAAATAAATGGGATTAAATCTGGAGTATCTGAGAGAGTTAGAGCAAAGGAAGGGGTAGCAGGTAATGCTGAATGATCAGTTATGGAAGGAGAAAAGAGAATATGAATGTGTAAATGCAAGAATTATGTGGATTAAAGTAAAGGTTGGATGCGAGAAGTAGGTCATAATAAGCGTGTATGCACTGGAGAAGAGAGGAATGCAGAGGAGAGAGATAGATTTTGGGAGATGTTAAGTGAATGTATAGGAGCCTTTGAACCAAGTGAGAGAGTAATTGTGGTAGGGACCTGAATGCTAAAGTAGGAGAAACTTTTAGAGAGGGTGTGGTAGGTAAGTTTGGGGTGCCAGGTGTAAATGATAATGGGAGCCCTTTGATTGAACTTTGTATAGAAAGGGGTTTAGTTATAGGTAATACATATTTTAAGAAAAGAGGATAAATAAGTATACAAGATATGATGTAGGGCGAAATGACAGTAGTTTGTTGGATTATGTATTGGTAGATAAAAGACTGTTGAGTAGACTTCAGGATGTACATGTTTATAGAGGGGCCACAGATATATCAGATCACTTTCTAGTTGTAGCTACACAGAGTAAAAGGTAGATGGGATACAAGGAGAATAGAAGCATCAGGGAAGAGAGAGGTGAAGGTTTATAAACTAAAAGAGGAGGCAGTTAGGGAAAGATATAAACAGCTATTGGAGGATAGATGGGCTAATGAGAGCACAGGCAATGGGGTCGAAGAGGTATGGGGTAGGTTAAAAATGTAGTGTTAGAGTGTTCAGCAGAAGTTTGTGGTTACAGGAAAGTGGGTGCGGGAGGGAAGAGGAGCGATTGGTGGAATGATGATGTAAAGAGAGTAGTAAGGGAGAAAAGTTAGCATATGAGAAGTTTTTACAAAGTAGAAGTGATGCAAGGAGGGAAGAGTATATGGAGAAAAAGAGAGAGGTTAAGAGAGTGGTGAGCAATGTAAAAAGAGAGCTAATGAGAGAGTGGGTGAGATGTTATCAACAAATTTTGTTTGAAAATAAGAAAAAGTTTTGGAGTTGAGATTAACAAGTTAAGGAAGCTAGAGAACAAATGGATTTGTCAGTTAAAAAATAGGAGAGGAGAGTCATTAAATGGAGAGTTAGACGTATTGGGAAGATGGAGGGAATATTTTGAGGAATTGTTAAATGTTGATGAAGATAGGGAAGCTGTGATTTCGTGTATAGGGCAAGGAGGAATAACATCTTGTAGGAGTGAGGAAGAGCACAGTTGTGAGTGTGGGGGAAGTTCGTGAGGCAGTAGTGTAAAATGAAAGGGGGTAAGGCAGCCGGGATTGATGGGATAAAGATAGAATGTTAAAAGCAGGTGGGGATATAGTTTTGGAGTGGTTGGTGCAATTATTTAATAAATGTATGGAAGAGGGTAAGGTACCTAGGGATTGGCAGAGAGCATGCATAGTTCCTTTGTATAAAGACAAAGGGGACAACAGAGAGTGCAAAAATTATAGGGGGATAAGTCTGTTGAGTATACCTGGTAAAGTGTATGGTAGAGTTATTATTGAAAGAATTAAAAGTAAGACTGAGAATAGGTTGTAAGAGAAGTAAATGCGAGGGTCTTGGCAAGAGGCGTGTAGTTAAAAGATAAAGAATCACACGCAAAGTGGGAGTTGTCACAGCTGCTCTTTGCTGATGACACTGTGCTCTTGGGAGATTCTGAAGAGAAGTTGCAGAGATTGGTGGATGAATTTGGTAGGGTGTGCAAAAGAAGAAAATTAAAGGTGAATACGGAAAGAGTAGGTTATGAGGATAACAAAAAGATTAGGTGATGAAAGATTGAATATCAGATTGGAGGGACAGAGTATGGAGGAGGTGAATGTATTCAGATATTTGGGACGTGGACGTGTCAGGGATGGGTCTATGAAAGATGAGGTGAATCATAGAATTGATGAGGGGGAAAAGAGTGAGTGGTGCACTTAGGAGTCTGTGGAGACAAAAAACTTTGTCCTTGGAGGCACAAAGAGGGGAATGTATGAGAGTATAGTTTTACCAACGCTCTTATATGGGTGTGAAGCATGGGTGATGAATGTTGCAGCGAGGAGAAGGCTGGAGGCAGTGGCGATGTCATGTCTGAGGGCAATGTGTGGTGTGAATATAATGCAGAGAATTCGTAGTTGTTGGAAGTTAGGAGGAGGTGCGGGGATTACCAAAACTGTTGTCCAGAGGGCTGAGGAAGGGTTGTTGAGGTGGTTCGGACATGTAGAGAGAATGGAGCGAAACAGAATGACTTCAAGAGTGTATCGGTCTGTAGTGGAAGGAAGGCGGGGTAGGGGTCGGCCTAGGAAAGGTTGGAGAGAGGGGGTAAAGGAGGTTTTGTGTGCGAGGGGCTTGGACTTCCAGCAGGCATGCATGAGCGTGTTTGATAGGAGTGAATGGAGACAAATGGTTTTTAATACTTGACGTTGCTGTTGGAGTGTGAGCAAAGTAACATTTATGAAGGGGTTCAGGGAAACCGGCAGGCCGGACTTGAGTCCTGGAGATGGGAAGTACAGTGCCTGCACTCTGAAGGAGGGGTGTTAATGTTGCAGTTTAAAAACTGTAGTGTAAAGCACCCTTCTGGCAAGACAGTGATGGAGTGAATGATGGTGAAAGTTTTTCTTTTTCGGGCCACCCTGCCTTGGTGGGAATCAGCCAGTGTGATAATAAAATAATAAATAATAATAGGTTTGTAGAGAGCAACCACCCAGGGACGTAATACCATATCCTGCCAAATGAGTGTGAAACAAACCTTTAATTGTTTTACACAGTGGGATAATTGCTGGTGCCTTTTTCTTTCTGTCTTATAAACAAGCATGACAACAGGTATATTTTGCTACTTCTACTTACACTTATGTCACACTACACATGCATGTATGTACACGTATATGTATACACACCTATCAGAGTTTTCTTCTACTTTCTTAATAGTTTCTTCTTCTTACTTATTTCCTTTCATCTCCATGGGAAAATGGAATAAGAATCCTTCTCTGTAAGCCATGAGTATCATAAAAGTCAACTATGATGCTGGGAACAAGTCACTAGTAACTTCTCCTCCTGCATAGATTACTAAAATAAGAAAAACTGCCTCGGTGGAATATGGCCAGTTTGCTAAAAAAAAAAATAAAAAAAGGGGGGGGATGTTTGAATGTGCGTGGATGACCTGTAGATGATAAGAAAGAGATGACTGTAAATGCTATGAATGAAAAGAAGTTGGATGTCCTGGCTCTAAGTAAAACAAAGCAGGAGGAGGTAGGAAAGTTTCAGTGGGAAGAAATAAATGGGATTAGGCCAGGGATATCCGAGAATCAGAGCTAAAGAAAGAGTACCAATAATGTTGACAGATCAGTTATGGTAGGAAAAGAGGGAATATATATGTATAAATTCAAGAATAATTTGGAGTAAATAAGGGTTGGATGTGAACAGTGGGTTATACTAAGTGTTTATGCCCTGTAAGTGTCATCTGAATTGTGATGTCAGCACACTTCTTGCAAGACAGTGATTGAATGAATAATAGTGAAGGTGTTTTCTCTATTTTTGGGTAACCTAGCCTTGTGGAAGACAGCCATCGAGGCAAAAGAATAATGCACAAAAAGCTAGTTTCCTTATTAAGCAGTTAACACATTAAAATAAAATTCACTATATACTCACCAATAAAAGTTTCAGTAAGAGCTAAAGCAGAGGATGCTTGAGTGAGTGCCTTCAGAGCATCACAAGTATCAAGTGACTCCAAGGATTTACCCACAGCATATTTGTGAGGCTGAAATTGAAATAGTTACTGCACATGAAATACCCATAGCTGAAAAGTAAACCTAACACGAGTTTAAGTATGTTGTATTTAATGCACGAGGTATAAATATAGTTATAATCAACAAATCTGCTTTCACAAACATGCACTTTAGCCTTATATCATTGTCAGACTGCATTTTGAAACAGACTGGAGGCAATGAGACAATCCAGACAGATTACTTTAATAACAGAGTTTAAGAAAATGAATAACAAAGCTACAATTATGCAATGAATTAATGATGTGAAATGATGGTGAAAGTGTTTCTTTTTCAGGTCACCCTGCCTTAGTGGGAGACGACCAGCATGTTAAAAAAAAAAAAAATGTATACAAGTGGCGTGTTCTCCATGGGAAAGTGGAGAAGAAGCCTTCTCTGTAAGAGATAACTAACCCCTACTCCTGCATAAATTACTAAATGTAAAGAAAAGAAAATCTTAATTTCTTCTTTTTCAGGTCACCCTGGTTTGGTGTGAGATGAATGGCATGTTAAAAAGAAAAAAAAAAAAAAAAAGTGATGTGTATCAATCGCATCTGCTAGATGGATGGATAATGAGAACCTTCAAAACCAGGGATGTCAAGCCCATGATGACATTCTTCAGGTCACTTGTTCTATCTAGGCTGGAATATTGCTGCACACTAACAGCACCTTTCAAGGCTGGTGAAATTGCTGACCTAGAAAATGTACAAAGTACCTTCACAGCACGCATAACTGCGATAAGCCACCTCAATTACTGGGAATGCTTGACGTTCCTAACCCTGTACTCCCTAGAACGCAGGAAGGAGAGATACACGATTATATACACCTGGAAAATCCTAGAGCAACTAGTACCAAACTTGCACACGAAAATCACTCCCTACGAAAGCAAAAGATTCAGCAGACAGTGCAACATCCCCCCAATGAAAAGCAGGGGTGCCACTAGCACGATAAGAGACAACACAATAAGTGTCAGGGCCCCAAGACTGTTCAACTGCCTCCCAGCATACATGGGAGGGATTACCAATAAACCCCTGGCTATCTTCAAGCAGGCACTGGACAGGCACCTAAAGTCAGTACCTGACCAGCCGGGTTGTGGTTCGTACGTTGGATTACGTGCGCCAGCAGTAACAGCCTGGTTAATCAGGCCCTGATCCCCCATGAGGCCTGGTCACAGACCAGGCTGCAGGGGCGTTGACCTCTGGAACTCTCTCCAGGTATACTCCAGGTATCTGTATACTATATGAGGCACTGAGCAGCAAAAAGAACAAGTGCCTATTTCAAACAATGGAGAAAAATGCATTTGTGAGAGACACTGGAGCTATGAAGATCAAGTTACCATACTGTACTATACTTTGTTATGGGGCTCTGAGCCTAACAGAGATGCAAAAGATAAAAGCTATGCATTCCAACAAACAGACAAAACACTGAAGAATCGACTGGCTCACTAGCCCGGATTTTAGCCAGCATAGTGCTTACTCTTTTCTCATATATTAATGAAAGCAACTCTGGTCTTGTTTAAACTAACATCTGCCACATCAGCAAAACAAGTAATGCTCATAAGCAAAACAATGAGTGGTAAAAATAGTGTGTAATATTGACAAGTAGTTGGAAAGACAAAATCACCAACACTAGGGCATTTTGTGGGAAACATTTCAATTTTAGATCCTTGATCAATTTAAATTACATAAAATTTTACTTTAGTACTTTGGAGTGATAAAAGTCTGACGACTAAAATTTTTGCAATAAAATGTGTTTGCATTTTGTGCCTTTTCCAAAAACATTTAGTGTAACTAAACCTAACGGACAGAGAAGTGAAACAATAGATTAAGAGAACTGGATATTTTAGCCTGAGATTCTTTTCAGCAGATGCAAACTAAATATTTATGACACTCCAGTTATTATATAAAAGTGACTAGGCTCTGCCCCACACACTAAAATCATGCCTCATTCTCTGCATGAGGAATTCTTATGGCCACTGCCATGTCGACTCTTGCTCATAAGTATGGAAACTCAAGAGACTCATTTGTTCATGTGGATGCTTAGAGAAAAAAAGTGCTAAATGTTCGAAGGCTCTTGATCTTTTAGAAAAAGTGTTTTTCTGATTCATAGGAGCAAAGTGGAGATATCTCAAGTAGCAGAAAGAGGACAGTTAAGAGTAAAGAAAATGAGAAATTAAAAATAATATACAGTAGATAAAAACCCTACAAAACAGAAATCAAAATATGGTAAAACCCTAAACCCTATATTTAATGAATAGGGAAGAGAGTGGTTGGTAATGGTGACTGTGTGAATAGAGATGACATTGTTTTGCTGTGATCGTAACAATAAACAGACAATTCTCTAACAACCAACTTTATCCATTGTTCCTTATCAATTGACCCGGCAGATCCTCTCCCGTATTTCAGTTAACCGAGATCCATTAAATCGAGAGTTTACTACAATATTATTCATTCCATTATAATTTAAAATTATTGTAAGTTACATGATATTGCTGTGATATGGAATTATAAACAATATACTAGTGATTATGTTAGTAAATTGTAAAGTTTGCTACAAATATTGAAAACAAACAAGGGAAATTGTTAGGGGTTTCACATATACAACAAAACTGTTTGTTATGCAGCCATTTATGTTCCTCATTAGTTGCTATACTGTACTATGGCACTGACATATTAATGAGCAACATAATGATGACTGCAGATACATGTTAATTAGTAAACAGTTGCTGATAAATGTTAATCTGTTATTTGTGAAGTATGAACCCTCTCACCTTCTGAGCCTCAAGTGGGGTTGAAGTGGAAGTAACAACTGGACATGTTGCCAAGTCATGAGGAGAACCCACACATGGTGGTCGATAACCGAAGCGGTGAACCTCGGCCACTACCAGGCGATGTTGGTTACTATTGCTTCCGGCACCAATACTACCAAAGCTAGTCTCTCCTACACCACTGCCACTACCACTAGCTAAACTTGCGTCACTGTTCCAGAGATGCGAGTCTAGTTGGGCAAGATGAGTATCAGCTATTTACAGGCATTAATTAAATGGCTTACAATTATATGATGTATATGTGTACATGCTGCACGAAAAAGGTACTCGAGAAATTATATTTAGCAAAGCAATTTTCATTATTGCAACCTCAAGCAAATGTCACATGCTTATTCACTGAAAAGGAACAGAATAAATCACAAATTTACCCATGAGTGACAAGATAAAAATTTGATGAGCTAACTAAAGATGATGAAAAATAAACATTAATAATAATTCAAGGAAGCATTAAATATAAAAAAAATGGGGCAAAATGCAACATACAGGATAAACAAAGCAATAGATCAGAAAAGGGGAGGTATTTTCATGTAAAAAAGAAAACGAAACTATTCAAATGCATCCAAACAGAGAGGAATAACAGCAACAAAAAAGATGAGGTAAAAGAAACACCCATCAGAGAAAACAAACACAGAGAATAAAGACAATGCAAACTATTATAGTATTATTACATTCCTGGGGAAGAGGTAAACCCATGGAGGTCATACAGTGCCTGGGGAAGAGAAGGCTATCAGATTTAATCTGAGGAAGAGGATAACAGCTCCAATTCCTTTGATTCAGCATCAAGGAAGCTCCTTGAAGGACGCAAATAATAAGTTATGAAGGAAAACTGTCAGCTGAGACTTATGATATTTTTATTTTGGTTACAGTGAGAACTGTGAACATACCACCATTTAACACATGGGAAAGAAAAGGTTATTTTTCAAAACTATTAATGAATAGTGACTGAAAAAAATCATTGTTATCGAGAATATAAATTTTTAAAAAATCTGAATAGCCACTGACAAGAAATAATTAAACAAATTCCCCAATGTAATAATAATTGGGTTTTGTATGCATCGTGAAATGGAACAAACTCAAACTAGAGAAACAACACACCATCAACACTACTCTATCTAATTATGCACCAAAAATTTAACCCAATATATATACTGTATTTAACTATTTATTTGACAAATAAACTATTTAACCATTTATTTATTAGATAAATAAAGAATCATGTTCCACTGGAAATAGTATATGTATATGAGTCAGTTATTTTGTGGTTTTTCCCCAAAATGTATACAAGTATAAATCTGTAGGGAAGGAAGACGGGGTAGGGGTCAGCCCCGAAAAGGTTAGAGGGAGGGGGTAAAGGAGGTTTTGTGAGAGAGGGCTTGGACTTCCAGCAAGAGTGCATGAACGTGTTAGATAGGAGTGGATGGATGGATGTATTGAGGTTTTTTGGGACCAGAACCAATTAGCTGGACTTGAGTTTTGGAAGTGGGAAGTATAATGCCTGCACTTTAAAGGAGGGGTTTAGGATATTGGCAGTTTGGAGGGATGTCTAAACTGTCACATCTGAGCGTCTCTGCAAAGACAGTAATTATGAGCGATGGTGAAAGTGTTGAATGATGAAAGTTTTTTCTTTCTTTTGGGTTTTTCTTTCTTTTTGGTCACTCTGCCTAGGTGGGAAATGGCCGACGTGTTAAAAAAAAAAAAGCATACAAGTGCACTCTCAACTTAATGGACTTCAGAAATGCAGGGCAAAATCTACTGGGTTAATTAAATTGAAAACAAAAGATAAAATCAGTTGGTTACAGAAATGTTTGTTACTGTGATGATGATCGGGGCAAAACACTTTCACCATCACTCGTACATAATCACTGTCTTTGCGGAGGCGCTCAGGTATGACTGCCAATATCCCAAACCCCTCCTTTAAAGTGCAGGCAATGTACTTTCCATTTCAGGACTCAAGTCTGGCTAACTGGTTTTCGTGAATCCCTTCACGAAATATTACCCTGCTCACACTCCAACAGCTCATCAGGTCCCAAAAACCATTCGTCTCCATTCACTCCTATGTAACACACTCACACATGCTTGCTGGAAGTCCAAGCCCTGCATCCACAAAACCTCCTTTACCCCCTTCCTCCAACCTTTCCAGGGCTCACCCTTACCCAGCCTTCCTTTCCCTACAGATTTATATGCTCTCCAAGTCATTCTACTCTGTTCCTGCTCTCTCTAAATGACCAAATTACCTCAAAAGCCCCTCTTCAGTCCTATGACTAATAATTTTAGTAATTCCACACCTCCTCCCAATTTCCACACTATGAATTATCTGCATAATATTTACACCACACATTGCCCTTAGACAGGATATCACTGCCTCCAGCTGCCTCCTCGCTGTAGCATTTACAACCCATGCTTCATACTAAAGTGTTGGTACCACTATACTCTCGTACATTCCCTTCTTTGCCCCCCATGGATGTTTCTTGTATCCACAGATACCTCAATGCACCACTCACCTTTTTTTCTTCATCAATTCTATGGTTAATCTCATCTTTCATAAACCCATGACATGTTAACTCCCAAATATCTGAAAACATTCACTTCTTCCATACTCCCTCCCTCCAGTTTGATACCCTCATTACCAGTGGCGGCTCGTGTATAAGCACTGCGGAACTGCAGCACCCCCTATTTTCACTCAATATTATCGATAACATTCAATATAATGAGTCTTTTTTTTAATTCTTTCTTTATACTTGTACATTATATAATCCTTAAGCTTAATGTCAGTAGCCATCCCCTAGTACATAAAAAAATTACAAAAATCCTTGTATGGAACTATGCGCTTCACAGTTAGGTAGAGAGCACTGTCGCTGACGTAATGACAACCCTGTTGTGCAAGTGTAAGGTAGTGGAAATAAATGGTATAAAATACCGACACAATGGAAATATAAACACATATGCAGTATAATGTGATCCTCCATTGACTATGCTTCGCCCACACAGTGGGCTTTTTCAAGTCACAAACAGATCTGTTTGTGACTTGAAAAAGCCCACTGTGTGGGCGAAGCGTAGTCAATGGAGGATCACATTATACTGCATATGTGTTTATATTTCCAAATGTAAGGTAGTGTGTCTTGTTGACTCAGCAATGTGTGTTGTGCTTAAAAACCACATACCATATTCTTGAATGTGATCAAGTGTAGAATTAGATGATTATCATGCTTCCAGCTATTTTGTTTTCTTTTTATATGCTTGTTTTGTTTTATACAATATTAAAACAATGGCTAACAATTTTCTGAAACAGCACCTTCACTAATTTTAGCTACGAGCCGCCACTGCTCATTACCTTACTCTTACATATGTTCACTTTCAACTTTCTACCTTTACACACCCTCCCAAACTCATCCACTAACCTTTACAACTTTTCTTTAGAATCCCCCAAAAGCACAGTATCATCAGCAAAAAGTAACTGTGTCAACTTCCATTTTGTATTTGATTCCCTATAATTTAATACCAACCCCTCTCCCCAACACACTAGCATTTACTTCCATGGTGACATTACACATCCCAAAGACCTACTTTTACCTGTAAGTAATCTCCCTCTTTCCTACACACCATAACCTGAGCCTCACTATCCTCATAAAAACTCTTTACAGCATTTAGCAACTTACTACCTATTTTACACTTGCAACATCTGCCACACTGCTCCCCTATCCACTATCATATGCCTTTTCTAAATCCATAAATGAAATTAAAACTTCCCTACCTTTATCTAAATACTGTTCACACACATGCTTCAATGTAAACACCTGATCTACACATCCCCTAAACATTCTAAAGCCTCCTTGCTCATCTGCAATCCTACTCTCCTTCTTACCTCTAATTCTTTCAATAATAACCCTACCATACACTTTACCTGGTATGCTCAGTAAACTTATTCCCTTATAATTTTTACAATCTTTTTTGTCCCCCTTCCCTTTATATAAAGGGACTATACATGTTCTCTGTCAATCCCTAGGTACATTCCCCTCTTTCATACATTTATTAAACAAAAATACCAACCACTCCAGCATTATATCCCCCCCTGCTTGTAACACTGTCATGATCCCATCAGTTCCAGCTGCTTTACCCCCCCCACTTTTCATTCTACATAATGCCTCACACACCTCCCCTACACTCACATCTTGCTTTTCTTCACTCCTAAAAGATGTTATACCTCCCTGACCAGTGCATGAAATTACTGTCTCCCTTTCTTCATCGACATTTAAAAGTTTCTCAAAATATTCCTGCCATCTACCCAATACCTCCAGCTCCCCATCTACTAACTCCCCTATTCTGTTTTTAACTGACAAATCCATTCGTTCCCTAGGCTTTCTTGACTTGATTATCTCGCTCCAAATTTTTTTCATATTCTCGGCAAAATTTCTTGACAGTGCCTCTCCCACTCTATCATTTGCTCTCCTTTTGCACTCTCTCACCACTCACTTCACGTTTCTTTTACTCTCCATATCCTCTGCCCTTCTTATATCACTTCTGCTTTGTAAAAACCTCTCATAAGCTATGTTTTTCTCTTTTATTGCACCCTTTACCTCATCATTCCACCAACCACTCCTCTTTTCTCTTGCACCCACCCTCCTATAGCCACAAACTTCTGCCCCACATTCTAATACAGTGGACCCCCGCCTTATGATGGCATCGTGTTACGTTAAATCCGCCATACAATACATTTGAACGCAAAAATTTTGCCTCGCCTCACGCGATTCGTCCGGGACACGTCCCACGTGTGGCCTCAGCGCCAGTGTTTACAAGCCAGCCAGTGCGGTCGCATCCACGCATACATTCAGTACATTTCACCTTATCCCAGTGTTTTTTGCGCTTGTAACTGCAAAATAAGTCACCATGGGCCCCAAGAAAGCTTCTAGTGCCAACCCTGTGGTAAAAAGGGTGAGAATTAGTATGGAAATTAAGAAAGATTTTGAAGGGCTTGGGGATAACCCTGAGAAGCCCATGCCAGTTGTGGAATCCATTGTGCCTACTTCAAAGATTAAGGAAATGTGTGCAAAGTGGGTTGAACTGCAAACCTTTATGGATGAAAAGCACCCTAACACAGCTATTGCAAGCCATGCTGGTGACTATTACAATGACAATGTTTTGGCTCATTTTAGGCAAATCTTAAAGGAATGGGAGGTACAGAGCTCTATTGACAGATTTGTTGTGCGACAGAGGTCCAGTGACTCTCAAGCTGGTCCTAGTGGCATTAAAAGAAGAAGGGAAGTAACCCTGGAAAAGGACTTGCTACCTCAAGTCCTAATGGAAGGGGATTCCCCTTCTAAACAATAACTTCCACACACTCCCCTCCTCCCATCCCATCAATCATCAGATCTTCAATAAAGGTAAGTGTCATGTATTCTTTTCTTAGTAGAGTAGTAATTGTGCATGTCTTCTTCAGTTTGTGTATTAAAATTAATATTTCATATGGTAAAAAATTTTTTTTTTCATACTTTGGGGTGTCTTGCACGGATTAATTTGATTTCCATTATTTCTTATGGGGAAAATTAATTCGCCTTACGATAATTTCGGCTTACGATGAGCTCTCAGGAATGGATTAATATTGTAAGGAGGGGGTCCACTGTACTGAATTTTTAAAATTATTCCTTCCCTCTTCAACCCCCCCCCCCCCCACTCATACTTGCACTAGCCCACTTTTCTGTTGATAGTTGTTTAAATCTCACCCTAACTTCCTCCTCCCTTAGTTTATAAACTTTCACCTCTCTTTTACTTACTGTTGCCATTTTCCTCTTGTCCCATCTACCTCTTACTCTAACTGTAGCTACAACTAGATAATGATCTGATATATCTGTTGCCCCTCTATAAACATGTACATCCTGAAGCCTACCCATCATCCTTTTATCCACCAATACATAATCTAACAAACTAATTTCATTATGTGCTATATCATATCTTGTATACTTATTTATCTTCCTTTTCATCAAATATGTATTACTTATTACCAAACCTCTTTCTACACATAGTTCAATTAATGGCTCCCTATTTTCATTTACCCCAGGCACCGCAAATTTACCTACTACTCCCTCTACAACATTTTTACCCACTTTAGCATTGAGATCCCCAACCACAAGTACTCTTTTGCTTGGTTCAAAACGCCCCACGCACTCACTCAACATTCCCCCAAATCTCCCTCTCTCCTCTACACCTCTCTCTTCTCTAGGTGCATAAACACTTACTATAATCACTTTTCACATCCAACCCTTATTTTACTCCACATAATCCTTGAATTTATACATTTATATTCCTTCTTTTCCTGCCATAACTTATCCTTCAACATTATTGCTACTCCTTCCTTACCTCTAACTATTAGAAACCCCTGACCTAATCCCATTTATTTCTCCCCACTGAAAATCTCCTATCCCCTTCAGCTTTGTTTCACTTAGAGCCAGGACATCCAGCTTCTTTTCGTTCATAACATCCACAATCATCTTTTTCTTATCATTCACACTACATCCATGCACATTCAAGCATCCCACTTTGGCAGTTTTCTTCTTTGTCATTTTAGTATAATAAATAAAAGATTATCAGTATAAAATAATGCATATTTTGCATTAGAATGATGACTATGGTGTCATGAATGCACTAAATTTTAAAACGGTAAACAAAGTTATTAGTTGTTAAGCTGCATTATGTATACATTAAATTTTTGAGGAAAATATGTTCTAGATGTGGAAATATCATGTCCTCTTTCTAACAAAAACAAACGTAATGCTAAAGCTTTTCAGCACTTGCTTTTCAGAGAAATGACACGTGTTGGGAAAAACGAGCAACTCTCGACGCAGTGAAAGGGTTAAGCAAACATTTTTAATGTCAATTTTACATATTTCAGGAATTAAAATACTCTGATGGCTTACTATATCCATCAAGACAAGGCAAAACTGGCGTTCCTATGGGAATACTGTACCTAAAGTCCGTGGTTTATAACCCAAAACCAAACAGTACTGCGGTGCTGAATGAAACCATTCAGAATGCACACTTTTAGATCAGGTCTTCTGTTTTAAAAAAAATGTACAAGAATTAATGTGTATATGACTGTTACTGCCAATGTACTGGAATAATAAATGCATTAAGCATGAATTGCATATTTTTCCTCTATGAGTTCAGACTTCTGAGACATCCTGTGTCTCAGAAGTAACAGGAAGTTTCATCTATAGTAACCATTGTACATATAGTATACATATAGTATATAAATACAATACCCATTCAAATGACTACAACCAACAAATGCATACCAGTCTTACCAATGATATTGTAAAGCAGAGTGCGACTATGGTGTGTCGAGCTAGGAAGTAATGGAGTGGATTCGTTTTCGGCTTGCAAAGGTGATGTGTTTGAGTTACACTGTGTAGAGTCGTTAATTTTATATTCCTTGTCTCTCTCTTTACACAGGTCGTCTGTAGAGGCAGGTGACGGCAAGTTATAGGAATGCTGTGGAGATATATGTTGGCTGTCCAGCTCTGATAACCTCTGTTATATAAAAAAGAAAAAATTATTAACTCAAGGTAGCCTGTATAATATTCTGCTGAAATCACCCTGCTTTATAATGAAAGATAGAAAAGAAATATTTTTTTTCTAACTCAACAGCCGACTCACGCCATAAAGAGGGTGATGGCCATTTTTCTGGAAGTGTGCTGACATCACAATAAGATTACCCCTTTGACAGCATCCCCACTCCAGAGCACAGGCACTGCCCTTTCCCACCTCCAGGACTTACACTGGCTAGCTGGTGTCCCTATATATGTACGTACTATACTTAAAAATACATCCAAAGAACATACCGTACAACTTTTTTAAAATTTTATGGTATAATCCTATTTCATCTGCCTTAAAAACATGCAAAAACCATTAAATGTAAAGATGCTTTTTAAATGAGTTAACACTTACAATAACTAGAGTACTGACTAAATATTTTATTGGAAACTTAAACTACAATGTAAGAGGAAATAAAAAACAGGTTAGCACTGTATAAAAGAACATACAGGAAGCAGAAATGCAGAGACAAATATGCATAGTAGACTCTACCAAGAGAATTTCATATCAAACATTAATAATAAGGTTGAATTATAATATTTAGAGGAAAGCACAAACCCATAAAGGTCATAGAGCCCAACTGGCTCATAACTACCAGCTTCTACTCTCACCCAACCATTTCCACTCATGTATTTGTGTCATATTTTAAGAATTGTGTAGCAGAAGTAGAATCGTCAAATAACATTTAAAACGAATGTACAGTAATAGCTGAAGTTAACTATCTTCCACCACATGTCTCAAATTGTTCTCACCTGTACACAGTACATACTGTAATAACTGGCCATTTCAGCATTTTAGATTTTCAAATGTTTAGAACATAAGAACATAAAGAAGGAACACTGCAAAAGGCCTACTGGCCCATGCGAGGCAGGTTCAAGTCCCCACACCAGCCCAAGCCAATGCCCCAACCTAGTCAGGTCAGGTCACATTCACTTAAGGAAGGAGCATGGCATCTGACCTAGTAGCAAAAGCTAGTCAGGTCCAACTCACACCCACTCATGTATTTATCCAACCTATTTTTATAACTACACGCTTTAGCTTCTATGATGGTGCTCGGGAGTTTGTTCCACTCATCCACAACTCTATTACTAAACCAGTGCTTTCCTATTTCCTTCCTGAATCGGAATTTTTCCAACTTAAAACCATTGCTGCAAGTCCTGTCTTGGCTAGAAAGGTAGGGGGTGTGTAGACCAAGTGTTTACAGTGAAACATATAGGTGAACAGTATTTAGATAAAGCTAAAGAGGTTTTTGTGGCATTTATGGATTTGGAAAAGGCGTATGACAGAGTGGATAGGGGGGGGGGCAATGTGGCAGATGTTGCAGGTGTACGGTATAGGAGGTAGGTTACTGAAAGAAGTGAAGAGCTTTTACGAGGATAGTGAGGCTCAAGTTAGAGTATGTAGGAAAGAGGGAGATTATTTCCCAGTAAAAGTAGGCCTTAGATAAGGATGTGTGATGTCACTGAGGTTGTTCAATACATTTATATACAAGGTGTAAGAGAAGTGAATGCTTGGGTCTTGGCAAGAGTGTGGAGTTAAAAAATAAAGAATCAAACACAAAGTGGGAGTTGTCACAGTTGCTTTTTGCTGATGACACTGTGCTCTTGGGAGATTCTGAAGAGAAGTTGCAGAGGTTGGTGGATGAATTTGGCAGGGTATGTAAAAGAAGAAAATTAAAAGTGAATACAGGAAAGAGTAAGGGTATGAGGATAACAAAAAGATTAGGTGACAAAAGATTGGATATCAGATCAGAGGGAGAGAGTATGGAGGAGGTGAATGTATTCAGATATTTGGGAGTGGACGTGTCAGCAGATGGGACTATGAAAGATGAGGTGAATCATAGAATTGATGAGGGGAAAAGGGTGAGCAGTGCACTAAGGAGTCTGTGTAGACAAAGAACTTTGTCCTTGGAAGCAAAGAGGGGAATGTATGAGAGTATAGTTTTACCAACACTCCTATATGGGTGTGAAGCATGAGGTGATGAATGTTGCAGCGAGGAGAAGGCTGGAGGCAGTGAAGATGTCATGTCTGAGGGCAATGTGTGGTGTGAATAAAATGCAGAGAATTCGTAGTTTGGAAGTTAGGAGGAGGTGCGGGATTGCCAAAATGTTGTCCAGAGGGCTGAGGAAGGGTTGTTGAGGTGGTTTGGACATGTCGAGAGAATGGAACGAAACAGAATGACTTTGAGAGTGTACAAATCTGTAGTGGAGGGAAGGCGGGGTTGGGGGTCGGCCTAGGAATGGTTGGAGGGAGGGGGTAACGGAGGTTTTGTGTGCGAGGGGCTTGGACTTCCAGCAGGCATGTGTGAGCGTATTTTATAGGAGTGAATGGGACAAATGGTTTTTAATATTTTATGTGCTGTTGGAGTGTGAGCAAAGTAACATTTATAAAGGGATTCAGGGAAACCGGCAGGCCGGACTTGAGTCCTGGAGATGGGAAGAACAGTGTCTGTACTCTGAAGGAGGGGTGTTAATGTTGCAGTTTTATAAACTGTAGTGTAAAGCACCCCTCTGGCAAGACAGTGATGGAGTGAATGATGAAAGTTTTTCTTTTTTGGGCCACCCTGCCTTGGTGGGAATCAGCCAATGTGTTAATAATAATAATAATAATAGTTTACATCCCATTTATTTATTCCTGTTTTCCATTAATACACCTCAATCATATCCACCCTAACTCTATGCAATTCTAGAGAGTGCAGATTCAGGCCCCTCAGTCTATCCTAATAGGAAAGATTTTTGATATATGGGATCAACTTTGTCATCCTCCTATGTATGTTTTCCAGAGCGTTTATATCCATTTGTAATATGGTGACCAAAACTGTGCAGTACAATCTAAATGAGGCCTAACCAAGGATATATAGAGTTGAAGAACAACCTGAGGACTCCTTTCATGCTTCTTGATAGGAAGCCTAGGATTCTGTTCGCTTTATTGCGAACACTTATGCACTGTTGTCTTGGTTTTAGAGTACTGCTAACCAGAACTCCCAAATCATTTCTCAAACAGTAATATTAAGATCTACATTATTAGTTTATATGTGGCATGGTTATTTTCCTTTCCAATGTTTAGAACTTAAATCTATAGCTGGCCTGTACTTATTTAGCAGCTCTTTTCTCCTACCCTTCCCGATATCATTTCCACCAGCAATGAGACAGATAATGGGCTTGTTCCCATTACCTGGGAATACTGCTGTATACTAATGGTCCCCTTCAAGGCTGGCAACATTGCAGACCTGGAAAGCGTACAAAGAACTTTCACAGCACACATAAGTACGATAAGGCACCTAAATTAATGGGAATGGTTGAAGGCCCTTGATCTACATTCTCTGGAGAGATACACGATAATACAGTGGATCCCCGCCTTACGATGGCATCGCGTTATGTTAAATCCGCCATACGATACAAAGTGGGTTGAAGTGCAAACCTTTATGGATGAAAATCACCCTAACACAGCTATTGCAAGCCGTGCTGGTGACTATTACAATGACAATATTGTGGCCCATTTTAGGTAAATCTTAAAGAAACGTGAGGTACAGACCTCTATGGACAGATTTGTTGTGCGACAGAGGTCCAGTGACTCTCAAGCTGGTTCTAGTGGCATTAAAAGAAGAAGGGAAGTAACTCTGGAAAAGGATTTGCTACCTCAAGTCCTAATGGAAGGGAATTTCCCTTCTAAACAATAACTTCCATACTCTCCCCTCCTCCCATCCCATCAATCATCACCAGATCTTCAATAAAGATAAGAAGAGTATTAATTGTGCATGTCTTCTTCAGTTTGTGTATATTAAAATTAATATTTCATGTGGTAAAAAATTTTTTTTTTCATACTTTGGGGTGTCTTGCACGGATTAATTTGATTTCCATTATTTCTTATGGGAAAATTAATTCGCCTTACAATAATTTCGGCTTACGATGAGCTCTCAGTAACGGATTAATATCGTAAGGTGGGGGTCCACTGTATACACTTTGAAGGTCCTGGAGGGATTGGTACCAAACCTGCACATGAAAATCACTCCCTATGAAAGCAAAAGACTCGGCAGGAAATGTAACATTCCCCCGATGAAAAGCAGGGGCGCCACGCGTACACTGAGAGACAACACAATAAGTGTCCGGGGCCCAAGACTGTTCAGCTGCCTCCCAGCATACATAAAGGGGATTACCAACAGACCCTGGCTGTCTTTAAGAAGGCACTGGACAGGCACCTAAAGTCAGTACCTGACCAACCGGGCTGTGGTTCGTATGTCAGCTTGCGTGCAGCCAGCAGTAACAGCCTGGTTGATCAGATCCTGATCCACCATGAGGCCTGGTCTCAGACCGAGCCACGGGGGCGTTGACCCCTGAAACCCTCACCAGGTAAACTCAAGATAAACCTGTTGACTATGTCACCAACACCAGCTCCAAAGAAGCACACACTCTCTCTCACCTTCTTATTCCTATTACAGAAAGCACAGTCCATATATCTTACCTGTGAGTCACCAACCACAAGAATTTGCTTACCTCTATTAGCAGGGGAAGTAGTACCTTTACCTTCACTGACCACTGAAGTACACTCATCCTGAAGAACAGAAGCAATTTCCTACCTTCAGATCTTCTCTATTAACTTTCCTTATTTTGATGCTCCTCCCATTACTGGGAAGCATTTGCCACTTGTAGCAGGTGTTGGACTGCACTTCACTGCTGGTAGCCTTTTCGTCCTCACCTTCAGCCTCCTCATAGCGAGTGACAGACTGCACCTTACTGCTGGTAGCCTCATTCCCCTCAACCACTCCAGCCACCTCACACTCACTCCCAAACCCATCAGGTGAACCTTCAGCCTCCTAATTTCCTCCTGGAGAAGTAGGACCTCCTTGAACACTAACCTCATAAACGGTCCAAACGTATATATACGTTTTTTCAACATTTGAAAGTACGTATGTAAAAAAATGTACATCTTGTTTTTTTTTTACATTTGAAAATGTGTAAAAAACTTTTATCTACTTTTTTTTGTTATATTTGAAAATATGTAAAAAAAAATAATCTACTTTTGGAGCACTATGGATTTGAACGTCGATCTATTTGGACCATTTAAGGGTTAAAACACTGCAGAAGCAAGCCATGGCTTTGTAACTCGCCACAATAATCTCCAAAGCAGCTCAGGACCTGTGACCTCTTGTGACCACTGACCTGGCCTGCAGGATTTTAACTGAAAGCCTTGTTTTATTGCAATAATTTACAATGTGACTTTCAAGGAAATTCAGAGGCAGTCTTAAGCAGTCTAGAAATTGAGGTGGATTTTTTTTTTTATTAATACTTCAGTTGTTCCCCACTGAGGCAGAGTGCCCGAGAAAGAAGAACCTCTCATCATCATCATTCACTCCAACACTGTCTTGCCAGAGGCACACCTACACTACAGTTAAGAATTGCCACACACACTGTATATCACCATATGTTAAGATAAGGCAAGATTTCATTCGGATTTTTAACCCCAGAGGGTTAGCCACCCAGGATAACCCAAGAAAGTCAGTGCGTCATCGAGGACTAACTTATTTCCATTGGGGTCCTCAATCTTGTCCCTCAGGATGCAACCCACACCAGTCGACTAACACCCAGGTACCTATTTGCTGCTAGGTGATATTTTCATATGGATTCAAGTCCAGAAAAAATAAAGAAAATTAACACAGTAACAAACAATAAACAACTTTATTTCTGTGTTTATATTATTAAGCACAAAGAAAGCCATTAGCATGCACGTGCATTTCCGGCAGACTTATCCTAATGCTTACAGATACTTAACATTAGACACACGTTATTGAGATGTAAATTAATACCTAACAGTGTAAAATTAGTTGCATATGAATACAAAATACTGCATCATATCCAGCAGGAGGTCCAAGGTTCAGAAGTTGCTGATGAATTCATGCCCTCAGTTGCACAAATTACATCAACATCAGTTTCTTTGCAGGACTAAGAACCTAGTTGAAAAACTGAATCTGCTGGGTAGGATTTATACTGATCATACAACATTATAGACTTTCATGCAACATCAATTCAAACATCATAATTATATCAAAACAATAAAAAACAAACAAACCTGAAAGTCTGTCAGAGGGTCAATCACCACATCAAAGACTTGAGAATCTGTATTAGTGTACTGACTGGTAAGATCTGTCGAGTCAAGCTTTCCCGAGTCTATGTTTACCCTGATGTCACCAGCCTCCATCGTTAATCAAGGTAGCAAATCGCTGCCATACCTAGAAAATATATAATGTACACTAATGTGTGCTACATTCATGACTGTACATGACAAAAACATTCAAAAGATATCTAAAAAAACAACTTCATGTAAATTATGTATGTACATTATTCTATACAGTCTTATGCTTTCTTCTTATTTATATAAATATTAATACTATATAGGTGGGCCCTGCTTTACAGTGCTTTGCTAATGCAGTGGTTTTTAATTATACCCATTCTTCATTTATTCTAACTTCCTACAATAAATATATTCACCACTCACTAAGCTAAGGACTAAACTATTTTAAGGTAAGAAATATGTGTACTGTATATGCATTATTTAGGCCTAGCTTTACTGCTCACTTTACATATGAGTAAACATGTTATCAGGCTTTCAAAGTGATTTTCGCTTTACAATGGTAACTCAGAACCTAACCTGCTGCGTAAGCGGGGTCCTCCTGTATATTGTATACCATTGTAACTCCCATAAATTATGTACAGCACTCTTAATTTGCTTAGTTTATGCCAGAGTATGATTTTTCGTATAAATTTCAACATAAAGTACTGTATACACGTATATGGACTGATACTTACAGTGTAAGTTATCATTGTATAATTATAGGCTTTAACTGCATATTTTTATTATTATATTAGTGGAAGTGCTAAACCCATTTTTATTTATTTATTAACAATTTGAGCACACATACAGAGGTACAAAAAATACAGATAAGAGCAGCATGCCAAAGCCACTTATACTATGCATAGCATTACGGGCTGGCTTAAAATTAACTTAGGATTAACTAAGCAATGATGAAATCAGTGATAAAACATTAATGTAAACAGATAACTATAAAGCACAAGTGAGTATTACAAAGACAGGTCATATGGTTGCATGCATTGTTGTACATTCAGTCGTATGAAGTATTCTGTTAGGTAGTGTATTTAAAAAAAATAATAAAGTTAGATTCGGTTTTAGGTTTAACATTTATGTGATATAATTGTGAGAAAACATTTAAGATATACAATTTATAAGGTTCAGTTATTCAGTATTTATTTGGTTTTGGGTGAGTAAGTGATCTTTGAGAAGAGACATGAATTTATAAACAGGTAGTGTTTCTTTTATATTTACAGGTAATGAATTCCAGATTTTAGGGCCTTTTATGTGCATTGAGTTTTTGCATAGCGTGAGATGGACACGAGGAACATCAAAGAGTGATCTGTGCCTTGTGTTATGGTCATGTGTTCTGTTGAGGTTGGCAAGGAGATGTTTGAGGGGAGGGTTAATATCAGAGTTAAGTGTTCTATGTATGTAATAGGTGCAGTAATAAGTATGGATGTTTTGTATGGCGAGTAGGTTTAGTGTATTGAATATTGGTGGAGTGTGCTGCCTGTAGTGAGAATTTGTTATCATTCTAACTGCAGCCTTTTGTTGGGTAATTGTGGTCTGAGATGGTTAATTGTTGTTGAGCCCCATGCACAAATTCCATGGGGTGAGGATAGGGGAAATAAGAGAGTGATATAGGGCCAGGAGGGCTGACTGGGAACATAGTACCGTATCTTCGTTTAGTTGCCTACAGTCTTGGAAATTTTCTTAGAAATTTGTTGTATATTGTTTGAAATTTGAGTCTATTATCAAGGGGATTCCTAAGAATTTTCCCTCTGTTAGCTTTGTGATAGGTGATCCGTTTATCATTATGTTAAGAGGGACATCTGTAGCTCTGTTCCAAACTGAATAAAAGTAGGTTTGTCAATGTTTAGTGTAAGTTTTTTTAGTCCTCATCCAGGTAGATATTTTCTGTAATTCAGTATTTACAGTATTGGCTAGCGTGACGGGGACTCGGGTGAGAGAAGACGTATGTAGTGTCATCTGCAAATAGTGTGGGTTTGAGTAATTGCGAAGCATTTGGAAGGTCATTTATGTATAGGGAAAGAGAAGAGGGCCAAGGACACTTCCCTGTGGGACACCAACTGTAATTGGTTGCGCAGAAGAGTTTGCCCCATTTGCGTACACATTTTGGCTTCTGTTGCTGAGGTATGACTTGAGGTAGTTGAGGGAGTGCCCTCTTATACCATATGGTGACAATTTTACGTGGAGCAAGTCATGGTCAACTGTATCAAAAGCTTTACTAAGTCAATGAAGAATCCCCAGGGGGACTTCTTTTTTCTCTATTGCAGTGTTTTATATGTTCTAGCATGTGTATAATAGCATCATTAGTATTTTTATTAGGCCTGAATCCAAATTGGCAGGGGTTGAGTATGTTTTTGGGAGATAAGGTAGGAGTAGATTCGTTTATGAATTAATTTTTCGAAGATTTTTGAGAGAGGGTGTAATTTGGGATATTGGCCTATAGTTATTCAACTCTGTTTGGTCTCCCCCTTTTGGGTGGATCGGGGTGACCCTTGCTATTTTAAAGAAACTGTAGGGAAGGTGGAGGATTCAATGGATTTGTTAAAGAGTGTTGTAATGATTGGTGATAGCACTTGTGACACTTTTTTGTATATAAAGGGTGGTAAGGTATTTAAATCTCCTGCCTTGTTTTTTAGTGCGTTGATAATAAGGGAGACTTCGTATGGGTTAGTTGGAGCTAGGAACAGTGTGTTCGGGTAGTTGCCAGTGAGGTAGTCATTTGGTGGGGTTTACCTGGAGACCTGGAGTTTACCTGGAGAGAGTTTCGGGGGTCAACGCCCCCGCGGCCCGGTCTGTGACCAGGCCCCTGGTGGATCAGCGCCTGATCAACCAGGCTGTTGCTGCTGGCTGCACGCAAACCAACGTACGAGCCACACCCCGGCTGATCAGGAACTGACTTTAGGTGCTTGTCCAGTGCCAGCTTGAAGACTGCCAGGGGTCTGTTGGTAATCCCCCTTATGTGTGCTGGGAGGCAGTTGAACAGTCTCGGTCCCCTGACACTTATTGTATGGTCTCTTAACGTGCTAGTGCAACCCCTGCTTTTCATTGGGGGATGGTGCTTTGTCTGCCAAGTCTTTTGCTTTCGTAGTGAGTGATTTTCGTGTGCAAGTTCCGTACTATAGTCCCTCTAGGATTTTCCAGGTGTATATAATCATGTATCTCTCCCTCCTGCGTTCCAGGGAATACAGGTTTAGAAACCTCAAACGCTCCCAGTAATTGAGGTGTTTTTTTCTCCGTTATGCGCGCCGTGAAAGTTCTCTGTACATTTTCTAGGTCCCGGGAATTTCACCTGCCTTGAAAGGTGCTGTTAGAGTGCAGCAATATTCCAGCCTAAGATAGAACAGTGGACTGAAGAGTGTCATCAGGGCTTGGCCTCCCTAGTTTTGAAGGTTCTCATTATCCATCCTGTCATTTTTCTAGCAGATGCGATTGATACAATGTTATGGTCCTTGAAGGTGAGATCCTCCGACATAATCACTCCCAGGTCTTTGACGTTGGTGTTTCGCTCTATTTTGTGGCCAGAATTTGTTTTGTACTCTGATGAAGATTTAATTTTTCCCCATGTTTACCATATCTGAGTAATTGAAATTTCTCATCGTTGAACTTCATATTTTTTTCTGCAGCCACTGAAAGATTGGTTGATGTCCGCCTGGACCCCTTGCAGTGTCTGCAATGGAAAACACTGTCATGCAGATTCGGGTGTCATCTGCAAAGGAAGACACGGTGCTGTGGGTGACATCCTTTTCTATGTCGGATATGAGGATGAGGAACAAGATGGGAGCTAGTACTGTGCCTTGGGGAACAGAGCTTTTCACCGTAGCTGCCTCGGACTTTACTCTGTTGACGACTACTCTCTGTGTTCTTTAGGAGGAAATTATAGATCCTCGCCCAAACTTTTCCGTTATTCCTTTTAGCGGCATTTTGTGCGCTTTTCCCCCAGGGCCCACACTTGTCGAAGGCTTTTGCAAAGTCTGTATATTTTACATCTGCTTCTTTTTGTCTTCTAGTGCATTTAGGACCTTGTGTAGTGACCCAGTAGTTGAACAAAAGGGAGCCCCTTTTTCAAAACCCCAGTTGCCCTGGGTTTTGTAACTGATGGGTTTTAGAGGGGGTGGTGATCTTGCTTCTTACCCCCTTTCAAAGATTTTTATGATATGGGATGTTTAGTGCTATTGGCTGTAGTTCTTTGCTGTTGCTTTACTGCCCCCTTTTGTGGAGGGGGGTTGTCTGTTTTTTTTAGTAACAGGGACACCCCCCTGCCGCCCCTCTCCCTAGGTGGAAAAGGCTCGGATAGGGGGTTTTTGCAGTTCTTGATGAACACAGAGTTCCCTGATTGGCCCTGGGGGAGGTGCATGGGCATTCTTTACGCCTGTTTGAAGTCATTTGGCGTCAGGATAACATCGGGTAGGCTTTGTTAATCAAATTTTGGCTCTCTCATAAAAAATTCATTTTGATCCGACCTTTAGTTGGTTTCGGCTTGCTAAAAACTGAGCATATTGGGACTTTATAGTCACTCATTCCTTGCTGCATCTGTGTAGGCCCCCTCGTTTTAAATAGGGGCCCAAAAAGGGGCGTTGTTCTCGATTTTATTTGGGATAGGAGAAGAAATATTTGGGTTTCTTTCGATTTATTTATGGCTTTTAGTTCTTCCCGCGATTCCCCGACTCCTAAAGGATTCTTTTTGCTTAATTCGTGCTTGTATTTCTCTGACCAGTGTCTCCCTGCCATTTTTGATATATTGACCTCTTTTTCCGCTCTGTTATTCTTTTCCGTGCCGTAAAGGGGGCCCTGTCTCTTTTTATTTTACATCTACTCCCCCTTTTTCTTAGGAGAAAAAGCCTTGTGCATACATCGAGTGCACCCAGTTAATCTGTTTAGGCATAAGTTTGGGTCGTGTTGCTTTGTAATCTTCCCAGTTAATCGGTTAGGGCTTGGTTTACTTTTGGTCCCACTTTATGTTTTTTTTTTAGAAGTTGAATTTGGTGAATGCTCCCTCGTGACTAGTTCATTTTTCGGTCTGGGGGTCCCGCATACATGTTGAACCTCAAATTTTTTGTATCTGAGTATATTGTTTTTTATATGGTGACATTTCTTTTAGTCATCATTGTT